AGATAGATAGATAGATAGATAGATAGATAGATAGATAGATAGATAGATAGATAGATAGATAGATAGATAGATAGATAGATAGATAGATAGATAGATAGATAGACTATTTGAAAATTGAATTGAAAAAAAACGCCAAGTGTTAATTAATTAAATCAATTAAAAGTATCAACAGCAACAGTCAATTAAAGATAATTATTTCTAATATATAAATGTTATTAAAATGTTTCATTTGTATGTATCTATTGCCTACAAGGATTATATTGTTTTTGATAACTGTGATAGTAAAACTGTGATAGTAAAATACTTCTAGAGCATTTCTACTTCAGTGCAACAAGGAGAAAGGGCACAAGAGGTTTAAATCAAACATTAACGTTTAGGATAACAAAAGAAGAACTAAGCTTTAAAAAAGTACATTTTGAATGATTAAATGAGAAATGGTGTCACTTAGACTTAATTACTAGGGTAGAGCAAACCGCAGAACTCGGCTGTTTGCTTCAACCACAACCGTAAAATTTGTCAGATTAACCTCACAGCGGTCTCGCGAGACTAAATTTGGCTGTCACATGATCGCGACGCTGGAAAACGAGGAAGTCATGGGTTGTTTGGTGTAGCAGAACTGCCTTACTCTCTGTTTTCAGCCATGTCGCCGCACGAATTGAGTTTGTTTTTTGTCCTTTTATCGATAAATGTCTACACCTTCGAGGGCAGTATCGTAGTAGACCTCAACTTAGCTTTAGCCAACAAACAGGAATCAGTCTCCTCTCCGGGTCACTCTGCGGTAAACTCTCCTGTGTTCAAGCCTGTTGTGGACTCTTTACAATCTCTGAACCTGCTGTCGTCCTTCCCAGAGGACCCGGCGATCAGTGAGTACTGCAGCGAGCTGCTCCACGTATTCGGGCAGCGGTATGTGACCTATGTGAACTGTCTGGTTCCTGCCGCCCGACCCGTCAAAGTGTGCCAGAACTGCTACTCCAGTTACGGCAGCCTGGTCGCCATCTACACAAACATCTCCTCAGATCAGGTAGGTTGCTAAACAGAGCGGGCTCTCTCTGCCTTTAGCATCGCAATAAAGAGTGACACAGGCTCGCATAAAGAGCACAGGCCGTGTTAATGCGCAGTCTCTAGTCAGTCACGAGTCTTGTGATGTGGCTGAGATGATTGAGGAAGTACGAGTTGGTGTCTGTCTTGAAATCAGCAGTGAAACCGGTCTAACATTTATGTTTTTTTAAAATGCCTAAACTCATTTGTGCTCATGGCTTGAATTGGGTGTGTGTTGTGTCTGTGCACGCCTTCAGATGAGTCCTGGCAATGTGAGCTGCAAGCGCAGCCTCCTGCGCAGTGATCGGCTGATGCTGGTCTACCAGATGTACAGCGACCTGGAGGATCTTTGGGAGAAATCAGACTGCAGCCGTAAGTGCACGCCAAGAGACAAACCAGCCTCATTAGAGATGCATCTGTGTTGAGGGATGTGACCATTTCTTTAAACCTCAAACCCATGCGGGTAATTGGTCAAAAAAGTTCAAGGCTGGCAGTAATTGTTGGTTTGCTTTGGATAAATTATTTTTAAGTTAGCAAAGTAGACTCAAAGATGTGTGGTATTACATCCTGAATGCCAGCGAGAATTTGAGCAGGAATATATACAGCAGATGTGTCAGTTAAAGTGTATTTGATTAATCCATTTCCAGCTGATTGCTCTTTTTATTTTAGTTAATCTGGTTATTATTTTTATCAATAATTAACTAAATGATGTAGGGAATGATTTTCTTTAGATTTTAAGTTCAACACCGGCATGTATTTCTTTCATTTGTTGGTCTGATAATTGTTATTCCATCTCTTTTTGTACAGATTGCATCACGGATGCATACAGGAGCCTAACCAATGATACAATGTTTTTTATGACTACTCTCAATCAAACCCTCACCTGCTTTGAGAAGTATAAACAGGTATGTTAAAGCATCTATCTGTGTGTGTGTGTGTGTGTTGATTTCATTTTCAGGAATGAACTATGATCACTTTCTGTCGTGCAGGGGAATCATACCGAGCTGTGCAAAAGCTGTAAGGGCACATACAAAGGCCTGAATGATCTGTACAGCCGAATGGAGAAAGAACAGACTCTGTGTATTGACATAGAGGATGCGGTACGTGTGTGTTTCTTTTATGTGCAAAGTGAGAAAACGTCCACCTCTTAGAGAAAACCCCCAACATTGTATGGCTGCTGCCGTCTCAACAGATGTATGCGTGTTAATCTGTTATTACACCTTCTGCTGGGATGTTTTCATGTAGTACAGGCTAGCCAGTAGATTGGCATCTTTAAGTTTAATTTAAACATAGGTTTTTGATCAACCTAACCTTTTATATATTAATATATAAAAAGTTAGGTTCGGGGGGGGGTTCCAGATGTGGGGGGTTTGAACAGCCAAGGCTGGATCCCCTTTTGTGATAGACAGTGATTTATGAGATTCAAGCAGGGCATTTAATTAGTTTTGTGCTCCTTTTTTTGCTGTCACAGGATGGCCAAATTCCGTGTTTTTTTCCAGCTTTTTTTTTAAACATGAAAGAAGCTCTGTGAAAGTGTTTCGACTGCAGTCAGAACCGTAGTCCACGTGCAGGATTCTGATGAACATCCCAAACAGTTTTGGGATCCCGGTCGCTGTGGTCAGCTGAAGTTTATGTTGCGTGTTTCGCCGCCGTCCTTTCAGATGAACATGACCCGCATACTGTGGAGTAAGGGTTTCAATTGTTCCTTCCCTCGTGAGGAGACGGTGCCGGTCATCGCTGTGTCCAGCTTCATGCTCTTTCTGCCCATCATCTTCTACTTGAGCAGCTTCCTTCACTCTGAACAAAAGAAACGCAAGCTCATACACCGTGAGTAACCAGCTTAATTCGCCCATTGTCACACAGGGAGAGGTTTTTTGACAGGGTTTTGACGGGGTTGAGGTCTTTGGGAATGAAGGGGACTGACGGGGTTATTTGGCTCTGGACCACAGACAAAGTTGAATGATTCACTTTTTTGTATAACTGTGTGTGGGTTGATGACGGCCGCTTTCAAGAATCTAATGGTGAACACACATTGTTCATCTGATGTGTTTTTGTCAGTCATACGATGCATTCAGTAACCATCACCTCCTCAAAATGCTTTACCTTTAGGCCTAACATGATTTCTAGATGCTGGATAGAAATACTCCCACAGTTATCTAGAATCATGATCTCTGCACACCGGTCAGGGTGCTGCTTGAGGGCATTGGATAAATTCCCTTCTAAACATGCCTTACTTAGGCTTGGATGCTATTCCTCTGACAAAACTATATTGCTAATTAGTATTCTCCCTTTAAACCTTACCATCTTACACCTTAGACATTTAATTACTGAGGTGGGAGCAATTCATTCAGGCACAAATGCTTTAAGTTGAGTGCTAAGGAAACATTTGCCCTTTTCACGTGTGATTTGCACCATAAAAGGTGCATCAGTTATAGTTTGATAGTCATATATAAAAAGCCCAGTCTTTAATAGGGTGGTTTCATGTCGTGGCCTGATTCACCACCTTTATGTTGTGGGGCGTTCTGCTCAAAGCTTAACGTAGTTTCCTGCTAGTTGCCAAGGAGATGTCATTCCTAAGGGAGTGACTTTGACCTCAGAGCATGTGCCAGTAGCATCGGATTCTGCCCTGACAGACACTTTTTTAAATTTTTATTTTGGCATCCAAAGCACTGAGGTTTTATCCATAAAAAAGCCTGTTTAGCACCATTCTAAAGGCTTTGAAAGTCGTCATTTTTATGACATTTCAGAATGTGGTGTGTTACGTAACAGCAACCTCGAGTTACAAGACAGTGTAAGATATCTGATATTTTGGACTAGAATAAAAAAGATAAATAGATTTTCTTTCCTGAAACTTTTTGTTGTTTGTGAGCTGTCAGACATTCGCGCTAACTTGATTATTTTTCCTCATGTCATTTTCTTGTGCTTGATGATGTCATATTTTCCACTTTCAGCCAAACGAGCAAAGTCGTACGCCACGCTGATGAACATTCAAGACAAACAAAGCTAAAGAGGAAGGCGGCGAGGGAAACGGTGGGGGCATTTTTGTCATCTCGCTGCCTTGTTTCTGAGTTTTGTCTGGCATCCTTGAATTTAGAGGACTCATTAGCAGCCTGTTTTATGTTTTCTTTACCACACAGTATTGAGAGGAACACAAGGATCAAAATCTATTGAACCCAAAGACTTTCGCCAAGCTAAATGTTTGCTTTGACATCATCTCAAGCTTTTGTGCCTAAAATTGAGTTTTTGGACACATCAGATAAAAAATAAGCAGAAATTAAATCGTCTTGGGGTTTTTAGAAATGTGCAACAAGTTTCTGGAGCATAAACCAAAATGGAAAATCTCTGCCAGGCAGAAGAGACGCCGGGATCGATGGACATCTGACTTTACAAACTTCTGCTCGGGTGGCTGTTAATGTTCCTGCACAGTGCCCTCTTAATCCTCACCCGGCTTCCTCTTTTTAACTTGTTAACAAGGTTCAGGTTGTTTACCGCATCCTGCTGTCACCGGACAGAACGAGTGGTTTGAATGCAGTGTGTGTGTGTCTGTGTGCTGCTCTGTGCTCTATTTATGGGAAGAGAAATGGATTTTCTGTCTCTAATGTATGTCCAGAGGAGAGTTGCAAAAAGGAAGCACTTGATGTCCATTAGTGGTGACATGTATCTGCTGTAAGAAGGGGGGGGGGGTGCACACATCGGTGGGGTGGGGAGTAAATAAAGACATAGTACAAAATGTAAGAGCACTCCAAAGTAGCACACTGTGATGTTACCTGTTTCATAGTAAGGGTTTTTTGTGGTTGCATAAAGCTTTTAATGTGCTTTGTTGTCATTTTCACTGATGTTTAATTTGTTAAAGCTTTCTGACTGAAAATGTATTTTAAAGTGATGAGTGCAGAGTTTATTAATATGTTCTAAAGTGTATATAAACCTTTATTCTGAATGCATTAATCCAAATAAATGATTTGTTTTGTCTTGAACATGGTGCCAAGTACTTGTACTGTAATTGACGCCCACAAAAAAGAGTTCAGAGACAAATGTTTGAATTTGGATTTGTTATTAACAGTCAGACTAAATGTGATCATTTAGATTTTGATGCCGACACATTTAACAAAAAATGTAAGGAGGGTGGAAAAATAAAAAGACAACAAATGTGTGAGCTGATTAGCCACCTTTGGTGGCAAAAGATGAATTATAAGATTTGTAAAAGAAATCCAGTGGAGCCCTGTCAGGTAAAGGGCCAAGCACAAAAAACAAAACCCAGCATCCTTGCCTTTGGGCTCCCAATACGCAATGTGTGAAACACAAGACAGGATTTTCTTAAGGAAATGTTTGCTTGTTGAAGTGAGGTGTAACAATACAGCCCGCACGGTGGCTAATGAGCCCAATGTCCGATTGAATCTAAAGCCGTTTCTGCGCACAGGAATGCCCCTTGTTCTCGGGTTACGTGGCCTTGTGGTTTCTTGCAACGTGGCTTTTTTCTCCGTCATTAGCGGCTAATCTAAACGTGGGATAAGGGTACTTGGCCGAATAATCGAAGCAACACATCCGTTAAACTCCTTTGGCTTTTTGGTCTTGTGGAGCGCAGCCACCGCTGGCCATCCGCGGCCCTAAGCGCATTACGGACACGCGGTCATATGATCCGCTGACCGTTTGCGCGGCCGGACAGGAGTGCGCCGTGCGCCACGGACCGGAGCTCAAGAATGACAGCTTTGGTTCCCGTAAAGCCTCGTTGCTTCTCGGGTCTGTAAGCAGGGCTGAAAGTCAAGAAGAAACAAAAAAAAAAAGGAGAAAAAAATCCTCCTGGTTATTATGGAGCGGAGGCTGCCACGTGACAGAGAGCACCGATGGAAAAGCTCTACTTCGGAGGGATTCAGAGAATTAGGCAAAAGTTAGTGGTGGTGGTGGGAGAAGTAGGCTATTTAGATCCTTTAGTTATTATCGAGAGTTTAAAAGCATCTAAATCCTCCATTGGATGTTAAATTAGCTCTGCATAAGGTAAAGGACCGGACCACCTCTCTCCATGGATAATCACTGGTGTGCCTTCAAATCTGATGATGCAATGAAAGAAATATTGCTCTCATTCAGAGGAAGGTGTAACAAAGTTATAAAACTAGCTAAAGTTAGAATGAACTATAAAATATATAAACTCACTTGTATGCCTAAGAAAAAATGTTGCAGGATGTGTGCACGTCAAAGGGAATTTATTATGCTGTGTAAATAGCAAGATAATTAAACATACCTGAAATATTATATAGCAATTATATGTATTATATATAGTTTACTTGCATATAACAACTGCATGTTTTCACTGATTTAAGTTTAGTTTTCTGTGCATTTTCAGTAATTTAATCTTTTAATGAAATTTGACAAAAAGAACCCTACTTCTCTTATTGTTAAATGAGTGTTTTTCATCGTCTGAAAATGCACAGACAGGGTATATTTGACTTCTTTTGATTATGTTTGGTTTATTAATATGTTATGTGTCACATAATGGAAGCTTATCTGAACAGTCCTCAGGTGAAGTAAAAACAAAACAGACTACCGTGTTTGTTTGTTTACAGCTCAGGTTAGTCACAGTCAATGTCTCATTCTTGCAACATGTGGTTCATGATAAAACTTACAACCACTGAATCACTTGAAATCAAGCTGAGAAAGAAATGCTTTAATGATTTTTATATTGAAAATGTGCATGCATGCAAATGAATTCACACTAAAAACCACTTTATTTGAATTTAATACATTTATCCCACATTTAAATCTTGTTTCAACACATTGCACTGGCTAGTATCTCCACAAAATCTATAACGAAGCCCTGGTATTTATAACGAGTTTTTTATGTGAAAAATAATTCAACCAAATTATGTTAACAGTCAAGGCAGGTTTTTTTTTTACCATCATGGCAAGCTGACTGAAGGACTAAAAAAAATCCACCATGAATGATTCCATTGCAAACTTGTCCAACTAATCCATTCATGAGCTTTGATTAAAAAAAAACTGACCATAAGAATAACTATGTGGAAGAAATTAACATGATTTTGAAAAATGACTCATATCATGACCTCGACTCTCTTGTTCCAGTTCTCACCTGGATTACTGGGAAACAAGTGTGCTGAGTTGCAATGAAATTTCAATTGTTTTAAGATTTTACCAAAAAACAAGCAAACAAAAAAAACATGCAAAAACTGTAGGTTGGTTTTTTACAAATATGTCTTGTTTAGGATGTGGCATATAAGTGATTTGCATGGATTTGTTTTGAAGCAATGATCTACAATGCAGACACATTACCTATAATATTTGAATTAATTAATACATTTTTTAAGATGCAAATGGTTGCTTTTATGAAAGCTGCACAGTTTCTTCCAACAGTTTTTGAAGCATAAATCAACAGATGTTTTTCTTTTTCTCTTTGACTTTAAGTTTAGATGACATTTAAACTTCCAGTGAAGCTGAACTGACGCCTGCAGGTGCTGAAATAATGAAAAAAAGCAAAAAATAAAGAAATAATGAAAAAAAGCAAAAATTCTTCAATACCTTGAGATAATTTGAAATGTCCATTCACAGTACTGATTTCTACCTGTGGTACTTCTTCTCAAACATCTGTATCTGAGTTTGCTGCCTTTTAAAATTGTAACTTGAAATCCTGTACTTAAAAATTCGGAAGACAGAATGATGTTCACCTGTTTGCAAAACGCAGATGGCAAAACCATTTGTGCAAGTTCCCTTGAGAAAAGGCCAGCACGTTTAGTATTTGAACAAGTGAAGGGATGGTCATCATTTTGTTTTTGAATTTGTCCTTCTGCTTTCATTTGTCAAAATTCATTTATTAAAATCTCATGTTTTGCTCTTCCTTTGACAAGGTCAAGGCCTCCAGATGAAATACCTTTGTGTTTTCTGCTGTCCTCCGCAATCATCCTCCACTCTGTAAAGAACATTCCATGTTCTGAAGCAGCTAATGTCCAATTCGTTAAGGCGATATTAAGAAACTGTTAGTTAGGACTTACACTGTTATGCAACCCCCCCCCCAACAAAACAAAGCTGTCAGTTAGTAAAATGGCCAAAGGTCAGGCTAAGATTATGCTCCTCTCAACCCCTGATTGATGAATATGATGCTTTGTTGAACAAGGAATAAACATATTCCACTGGGGGTAGGAATTGGCACTCATACGTACACACATGCACCCTGTCTTACAGAGCATATGCAGTGTGAATGAGACTTATTATACACCTGGGAGTGGGGGTCAAAGTCTGTCAAGCCCTAGCTTATGGTATTATGATAGATTATAGAATCACTCCCTAATAGCAGTCATTCAGTTAGTAATCCCAGCAGCTTGATGCAAAAGCGCTCATGGTTCCAGCCCTGGTGAAAATAAGGCCTTCTCCTCATTCACGCTTCACCCCCCCCCAATGCTCAAAGGTCTTATGACAAGTCAGCTGTTGGTGACATCACAGATGCTGGATCATATGTCGGAAACCTTTGCGGGCTGACTTGCATCCCTTGTGGCTCAGCAGCAGCCACGGCCACTCGAGTGCAAAAGAGCGGCAAGGTGCCCCGGGGGTGTGGGGGCCAGGAGGTGCAGGGGGCTGCTCTTCAGGGCAAGAACATCTGACCCGAGGGGGGGTTTGATTGTCCTTGCTGCTAGTCAGACGCATCTTGCCATCAGCTTGAGGCGACATTTCTCATTTGAAACTTGTTTTAATTAAGAAGTCCAGATAATGTGACTGTGAGTCTATAGATAACTGTTTTTGTACAATTTGTTCTGGGTACATGTACACGCATATGTCAATGTGTGTGTATTATTGATGGCTACAATTACACAGGTTTGAGGATGTTGACTTAGGTAAGCCACAGTGTTGTAGTGCCCCCTAAAGTGAGCTTTGAAAAATTACATTAACAACTAAGTTTAGAGGCAGGCCATCACGATTTTTGTTTGGGTGTCATGACAATATCAGCTATATATCTTTATTTTGATTTACTTTCCATCCATCCATCGATCCATCCATCCATCCATCCATCCATCCATCCATCCATCCATCCATCCATCCATCCATCCATCCATCCAAACAGACAAACAAATAGACAAATAGACAAACAGACAAACAAATAGACAAATAGACAAACAGACAAACAAACAAACAAACAAACAAACAACCTGTTAACTGGACACCGTCCATCATTAGTAGTCTCTCGCTGGATTTACGGAATTACGTGGCGTACGTAAACTTCCTCTGTCACCATAGCAACGTTTACCAAACAGAGCGGCTTCAATTCAGCCCCATCTCCACGGTCAGCAATTTTAACACAAATATCCTCATAATGGCCGAAGCTGCCGAAGATTCAAATGTCTTGAGCGGAACCTCCGAGCTGGCGGAAGAAAAAGAAGACATGGACGGGTAAAGTCGTCGAATTGTTGATTTATTTCGTTTAGTTTACTTTACGGAAATATTTGCTTGTAAAACTGAATGGGAGTTACTTTGTTGAATGAATTCTACTGTGCAATTTTATTATTTTGTATTTTTCGCTAAACATTACCAGAGTCTCATCTCAGGACGATGAGGGGGACAAAGAGAAGAGAGAAACGAGTGAGGAAGAAGAACCAAAGGTGCTTCCCTGTCCCTCTGGTTTCCATGGATATATCAACAATGCCAATAATTGATTTATTTTGTTAGTTTCCCTTCACTTGTACAGTCTATTCTTGCTCACCATTTCACACAAGACCTCAGAATATCTGCATTTAGACATAGACATAAGCCATTTTCCATCAGTGATGAAAAAACTAAAACTTCTAACACACTAACAGACAACTGAATGAAATAAATAGAATTCCCTAGACAGAGTGTTACCATCTCTTTGATAACTTGTTACATAATGTCTGGGTTATTTCTTATTATACTTTCAATCTATTGACCCAAGTAGCAGTGCTAGTTCAATTCCATTGTTATTTATCAGAGTTTGATCAACCTCCAAAGAGATCTGACAGAGTTAGTGACCAACATCCCGACTGCAGCCGATGCCAAAATAGTGCAACAAAGGGCACAACTGGACGAAGCTCGGAGACTCCGGTAAATCTTTTTAAATACTGACCGACCGGTATCCCAAAATAAACCTTCCAACAACGCTAATCCCAAAACAACTTACTTTTGTCGCTTGTAATTGCCAACACAGACAGCAACGGCTGGAGAACGATGCTAAATCCTGCCAGGAACAGTTTGAGCAGATCTCACGAGGATGGCCGATACTCAATCAGAAGGCGATCCTACAGGATCTGCAGAAAGCCTTGACCAGCCAGCAGCAGCTGTGCGATGCTCTCATCCAAGACAAGAAAAAACTCATAAGTGACCTGCAACAGGTAACTCCATCCAGCTGTCAGCCTGATGTTGAATTGTTTTAGAAATAGAGTCAGGACTGTAAAGCTACGTGTGAAGGTGTCGCAATGATCATCTCCTGATGGAGTTCCTGGCTGTGACCCTCTCCCCCTGAGCAGGAACTAAAGCTGAGCGATGAACACTATGTGAAGAACTTAAGGACTAACGCAGAAGAGATTAATCTGATGATCGAGAGGATGGAAGACCAGATCAAAATCCTCACAAAAGCCTACAGAGAGGAGTTGGACCAGATTGATGTAGGTAACGCTTCTGGTCTAGGAGCAGCTTTAAATGATTTCTGAAATAGTTCAGCGAGTCAGTGAGAGGACATGAGAAATAACAGATGGTTGCCCTGTTGTTGTTGGCAGAGAGTTCATGAGCAGGAATTGGACATCTTACTTACGAAGGATAAAACTGAATGGGAAGAACAGTTGAAGAAGCTTTGGGACTTGGAGGTCAGAATAATAAAAACGAAGCACACATACAACCATGCTGACCCAACTTTTATTCATATCGTCACATATTGTATGCATGTCAATTCTGTATTGAATAAGTTGTGTTCTTGTAGAATAAAAGGCTGATGGAGAGGACAAAGAAAGTGGAAAACTATGAAGAAGAAATTCATGATTTGATGCTGGAGAATGTCCACAATCAAAACATCATTACAAATACCAAACTGCAGCAGTCCCAGGTTAGACCATGAAGCTTATTATCTGACAAAGCTGTGATGGTAATTTACTGTGGAACACGATGCATGTTTAAGAAACTTTCTCATAAACTTGACTGTTAGCAGGACTGAAGCATTGCGATCAGTGTTGTTCACTTCTCAACATTTTGTCTGGCTGATGAAAATGTTTACAGACTGACATAATCTCTGAGTCCCATGTTTGACTCTGCAGGCACAAGATAGGGTCCATCAACAGGTGAAGGACAACAGCATGCTCACAATACTAAAACAAAAAAAAATAGAGGAAGAAAGACAAAAAATAATGAACAGGCTGTCCAATGTCAACAAAAAGATCCTCAGGTAATGCAGCTCCTCTCTCTGATACACGCAAACACACACATATATACTTTAACACTGATTACTTTGTGTTTCAGTTTGGAGAGAGAAAAGACAAACATAAAAAGAATGCACAGCGTAGAAGAGAACAAATTCATGAAGCAGAATCACAGATTATCTGAGGAATACAAACGATATGTCCAGAAATATGAACAAATTCAGATGGAGATGAAGTGAGACATCATTTGTCAGTTGAAGTTCATACTCAGTGTAATAATTCTCACCTCTTACATGTGTATTTGAATTTCTCTGTTGTTTCTTTCTTGTTCTGCAGGCACTTTGCAGTTGCTGATGCCAAAGTCTTTGAGGACATGTGGCTAATGAGTGAAGCAGAGGTAAAGCGATTAGTGGAGAGGGCTTTGGACATTGATTCAGTAATCTGCAAGCAGCACCTCGGCATAGCCTGGGAGCGACCTCATATTCCCTTTCTTGAGCTGAGTGGTCCCATCCAGCCTCAGAAGCTAACCCCAGGTCTTAGCCGGCCAATGTCTGAAACTGGGACAAACAGCCAGGAGACGCTAGAAGCTTCAGCTGGACGCAGCATGGAGGCTGACACTGAGGGCTCAAACGCAGACGTGAGCGAGGAAGGCAGAGCTGTGTTGAGTGAGAGCAGTCCAGGGTGGGAGGAAGGGAATCCATCCAGGGATATGCAGAAGGAAATCATGGAGCTACTGTGTGATGAAACAGTAAGACACGTGTTGAAAACGAATGGCACTTTACAGCCACAATCAGTAACAACAAGGCCGAATTCACAAAATAGCACAGAAAAGTAGTGACGTAAAATTCGAATTAACTATGAACAAAAACTTGATCTTACCCCCTCTCCAGGACTTCCTGATGGAGGATAAAATTTTGAAGCTGCTGGCCTCTTTGGACAAGGAGGAGCAGACTGCTGTGAAGCTGGGATTTCTCTTTAGTGTGAGCTCACCACTGATATTAGCACACACTGCTGTTAAACTAGTCAAGATGTGAGCTAAACAACATGCCATTCTCTTTCTTCAGTCTTTGGCTATAGAAGACAAAGATGAATCCAAATTGGCTGATTTTTTACTGAAGTATGAGCAAAGGCAGAGAGAACAGAATGAGGTAAGCAGGTTGAGCATGGAAAGAGCATCGGCCTGTTTATAACATCATTGGACAACAGCATTTTGACCCTCTTATGCTTTCTATGCCCGCAGGGCTCATGTACAGGACCCAGTGGCTCTGCAGAAGGAGATGAGATAAGCACTGCATCTGATTTGACCTCTGAAGTCATCCATCGCGACCATATTTTGCCTGCTCTAAAAAGTTTCCTTGAGCAGCGCAGGATGTCCAGGTGAGGTCCTGAGATTTCTGTTTGTCCACCTATAATCACACATTGAATAATAAAAAACTTCTGGTACTTTTTAAGGGAGTGCTCAGCCCATGGACTGTCCAGTACTCGGCTTAATCAGGCCCGGGACACCTCAGACGATGCAGCCTACTGGGCCACTATGGGCGACGTCATCTCTGAGGACAAATTCCAGCTGTGGGATGCTGCAGAGATCACACTAAACGAATACCAGTAGGTGGCACACAGAGACAGACACCATTGATCTAGATCAAATTATGGATGTCTGGTGCGTGTGTATGTATTTCCAGTGCCGTGCTGACAGAGATCTCGGATCTTATTCCTGAGACTGAGCGTCTGAAGCAGAAGAACACAGAGCTGCGGATGCAGCTGCAGCAGCGGCTAACCTCAGCGGTACGTTTGCTGTGGTTTGTTACCTTTTTGCCATTTGGTTTGTGTTTGTATAACTGCAAAATTACTCAAAGAGCGTATAAAATTGGCACTTTTATTTGGCAAAAGATGCCTCTATTAGGATGAACCAAAATTAATTAAAAACACAATCTGAAAGGTCTAACAACCCAATCAACGCTTCCTTTCCTCTGACATATACTGTAAATTGACTCTGACAGGTCGACTGAAGCTGTGAACAGTATCAAAGATGACTTGAACAGCAGGTGTGTGAAATTGTATTCATCTAAAAATTCAAGGACTCAATAAATAATGTTATATTGGAAAATGTTTATTGTCTTACAACTCTAAAGGAAAATGTATTTGCTCTTGCAAAAGTTCGTTTGTAATAAGCAGTGTGTCCAAACAATAATGAGATACATTTGTGGTCACTGGATCTACCCAGCAAGGTTGAACAGCTTGTGGCTGAGCTCTGAGGGTAAAGAGTAGAACAGCAGAGCCAGGAAAAGCAGACCCATCACAGCAGCCAGTAACAGCACGCAGTGCAGTTTGTAGTCCCTCCAGGCCAGGATGCACATCGTCCTCCATGGGCGCAGCAACCAGGACATACTGGTGCAAGGACGGCTGCACAGAAGGGTGAAACAACAGTCATCAGTCATTCCAGAGAGCTCGGAAGACTGTTCCTTCAAGAAATACAAATGGCAGTTAAGCAATTTTATTACACTCTGTTACGTATACTTCACTGGTTACAGGTGGGGAACTCAACTCCAATGCCATCTCTTTCAGGAGCAAATTAGATTTTTTTCAAGAAGTGGCACATTAACACAGTTTACATTTACAAATTTAGATGCTTCTGAAAATTTAAATAAAAAGAGGATATAGAGATTTGCCAAACATTTAAATTATGCATTTTGATTCAAATTGAAAGCATTGATTTGACAACATTCAAAATGTTAAAACTAACCATAAAAATAATGTTTTACGGACAAATGTATGCTCATATTCAATTTGTTTTCAGATCCAGATCCAAAAGTGTTCTTGTGTTCCTTTGATTTTGGTGGCCTTCAGGTGGATGAATTTAAAGGTCCATTGTCTTTTTAACTTCCATAACATCTGCAAACATCCAGTTGGGTCGTGGAGGGGGCTGGAGCCTAAAAGACGTGGTGCAGGCCGCTTGTCCGTCACAGGGCTACACAGAGATAAACCACCACACACACACTTACCAGGAGTATTCAGTTAACCTAACATGTATGTTTTTGGTGGGGGGAAGGCGGGATACCTGGTGGGAACCTTACGAAGACACAGGGAGAACATGCAAACTCCACACGGTCCCCCAGGGATTTAAACCGTGAACCTCTTGCTGTAAGGCGTTGGTGCTAACCACCACACCACGTCCTATCTGCAAAAAGGCAGTGCTGCTCTGCTGATGACTGTTGTAAAAGGACAGTTATTTAAAACCATGTTGTTCATGGAAGTTGATTTATTTCAAATGGATGTCACAAACAAAAAATATCACTCACATTTCAGAACATATAAATACACAGATTCATTGTAAAAACAGGCAAGTTTAGTGCAAACCAAAGTTGTATCCGGTAAAATGCAGATACCCAAAAGATTGCAACACAAAAATAGGTAAACCACAGATGAAGTTAAAAGAGGAAAAATACATCACAGAGAATGCCTCCTGACTGGGAGGGCCAGGTGTTTCAGAATCTACTCAGACCTTTTGTCCGACTCCATTCAAGTGCACTTTAATCATATTCCCATGAACCCCTCTTGGCATCATCTGCTACATAAATGACAAACAGTGGGAGTTGTTTGGTCTGTATTGAGCTGGAAAGACAAGTCATGCTAACACACAACCTCTCTGGCCAGTTATCACAATGATGCATGCATATCAACACATAAGCCTTGATTTAGCTAGACAACAGTTACTCTTTTTAGTCAGATCTGGTCAAATGACATTTGCAAATAATTTGCGTCACTCACTACAGAAATTTTTATTGGTGGTGAATATTGTGACACAGTACAGTGGACTATACATTTTTTTATAGGACAACACACTAACAGAAGAATATCGATAGCAGAAATCAAAGAAATCTGCTGTAATGTGATCTTATCGCTCATATGTGAAGTATACACACTGAATGACAAATTCCTATTATTTGCAAACACATTTTGATTCAGATCTGACATTGCTGCTTTGATTCTAGGGATTAAATATTTAACACTGCAGTTCAACCAACAAAAAGTGTATTAACTACCTCATTATTGTTGCAGGTATCTTGTTCTGTGCCTCATTGGGTTTCTTAGGAAAATAAACATCTTTCTTTCTTCATTATTTTTATTCTTATATTGTTGTGCAAAGACTGCAAGAACTATAGCAGAGAAAGGTAACACTTTACAGTTATTTATGTAGCATTTATGGCCAATACTTAGATGTTTATGGAATACTTATGCCATGTCATAAAGCAAAAGTGAACAGAAATGGTCATGTAATATTATAGGTATTTTTCATCAAGTGAATACCTTTCTGCGGGCACAGATAAGTATAGACGAGGGTATAGGAATAAAACAAATGACAAAGTATTGTAGAGTGTTCATAATTGTCGATAAATACTGTACATTACCTTAAATGTATAAAGCCATTTCTTGAAGAGCTCATAAATACTCAAATACAGACAGCTGTAAAGTGTTACCAACGTGTAATCTATTTGTTCCCAACTGTAGAAACTGTAATAGTAATGGGATATCATAAACCATCACTTGAAATGAATGTACATGCAATCATCTGACCACTAGCCTGATAGTTTCACCTAAAAAAGAAATGAAAGCAAAGCTTACTATATTTGTAAAGAAACATTCAACGTCTTCAGTTAGATCAGTGGTTGCTTTGTGGCAAATGATTGCTGTTAAGTCAGTTCAAGGATAGAATTCAGATACTCGGGATTCAAATTTGTTTTGGTTGTGCAGATTGGTTTAGAGGACTAAGCAGCTCTATATATCTTGAGTGGAGAACAGTCCGTTCGGTCGATGTCTTCCCCTCTCCTCAGTGCTATATTAGAAGCTGGTTGTTTACATTAAAGTGGATTGGAGAGGAGAAGACAATGCAATCCAGCTTCCCTCGGCGCCCCTTCACCCCCGCCGCCTCGTGTTCACCCAGCCACCCCCCTCGTCTTCCCCCCAGCGGTGACTTAAGCCCCGAGCAGCTTCTTCACAAGGTAGCCTGGCATGCTGTAGAGGAAGAGGCCCAGCATGATGAGCAGCAGCAGGGCCAGCACGATCTTGATGATCAGCCACTTGTAGCGGTTGCACACCAGGTAGCGGATGGCTTTCAGCGGGCTCAGGAACCACAGGAAGGTGGTGTCTGGGCGACTGGACGGGGCGAACGGATGTTTTACAGGAGGAAAGAGAAGAAATGGGGAGGTTAGCATGCAGGTGGATGGAGGGGGGTGTCAATGGAGGGTGAGGAGAGGTGAGTAAGGGTAGATGGAGAAAGCAATGGGATGGAATATAGAGGGATAAAAGACAGAAAAAGTTTGGATTAGTGATTTAAAAGCCGTTTTGCATTTGTGAGTAATATTTGTCACTTGAGCATGCTGACAATTTACAGGTCTATTAACTACGTTACAAAGGAGCAAAAAAACACATGACAGAGTTGAAGCTTTGCCATATAAATAAATGTTATGCTGGTGAAAATGGATGAATGGATGACCAACAGCTCTAAACATTATTTCTGGGTCACTTCTGACAGTTCTGCAGACGCCAGACCAGATAACGACAGTCTCCTGCGAGAAGTGATCACCCCTCTGTAAATAAGTGTTTCATCCTACACATGATCAGCATGCAATTAACATCTTTACCTGGACGCACTGATGCCATGAGATAACTTGAGCTGATTTAGACAGACCATCTTCCACATGAGCACTGGCAAAAAGGTAACCTTACAACATGTAACCTTACTGCTTTTTTCCGATGTTCAAATAGAGCAATCCTTCCCATCTCAACCAAGTGACCCACATGACATCTGTATAGCACTTTTTTAAAGTGTCCCCACATCTTTCCATATCAGAGAGGTCACATATGAGATGTTTAATGGTGGCGAAAGATCCAGACTTCCACAAAATGGTGAGACAATACAAATAGAAAATATACATGGACATTGAAAACTCCTCTAATCAGAAAGCAGTAAGGGACAGAAGAGGAGGAAAACAGTGAAAACGGACAGCCTGAATCTGACAGACGAGAGGGAGTTTTGGTAAAAGACAGTTGAATCCGGCAGAAAGAGCGAAGAAGGGGCAGGGGCTACCAGCACATCAGGCCCCCAGCATCTTCTTGACCAGGTAGCCAGGGATTGAGTAGAGGAAGAGGCCCAGCATGAGCAGCAGCAGAATCAGCCCAAGGGCCTTCAGGATCAGCCAGCGGTAGTTGTGCCAGATGAAGTAGCGAATGGACTTCAGAGGACCCAGAAACCACATAAGACTGGTGTCCGGGCGACTTTGTGGAAGAAGGGGAAAAAAGAGGAAGGGGATGCAGATGAGGCAAATAGTGGGGGAGGGAGGGAGGGAGGGAGGGAGGGTGAGTCGCATGCAAGAAAAGGAAAGGGATAAGGGGAGGGCAGAGACAGGGAGACAGTTGAGGAGATGGTAGGAGGAGAAACGAGTGTGTAACAGTGCCCTCAGGCAGTGCAGAGAGCAGCGTAGATCTTTTTTAAATCACGCACAAACATTTAAACATTTTAATCTGCTCTGATACGCTGCTTTTTGCACTGATGAATTACTTTCCGAATAGGGAAAGTTAACGAGAAACATGATCATGTCTTTGTCTTTTTCTGCTCCACATGAATAATAAGTATCCTGTAACAGTGATACCAATGTGCTGATACCAATTTGTGTGACCCACACTCTAGTTTACCTTTCATCAATGCAAATGAATACAAATTCTTACTTGGGTTTTTCCAGTGGATCCGGCTCATTTCTTCCCAATCCCACAGGACTTTTCTCAGCTTCCTCTGCCGTCACCAGGTGAAGTTCAGCTTCAACCTTACCCTGTAATCACAGACAAATTCCTGTTCAATAGTGTTCTTCCTGACACTGGACATTCATGTAATGCTGAACAGATTTCTCTTTTATGGCGCCTGTCCTGCGGGTTGAAGCCTTCGCAATGATTTCAGTTACACACCAGTGTTTAAAGAATATAGAGGAAAAATGGAAATAGTTGGTGGATTTGCATTGTTTTGACTTAAAATCTCTGCCTTTAAATTGAAAGACAACTCCCTCAGCTGATTTAATTGAATCCTTTTTCTTCCTTAAAAGCAGCATCTAACCTCAATTCTGGAGCATGCTCAGTCATTTTGTGATAAGATATATGACGCATTAGTGACACATGACTGTCGTACCGTGAGCTCCATCTCATCGTTCTCATCTCGGGCTACAAATGGCCACCACCCTTTGACCCTCTTCTGTTTGAAGATGGAAATGGTTGGTAGCTCCTGCTCATTTCGGATCATGTCAAGGGAGCACTGCTTAGCTGTTTTGGCTCCACGAGGGAAGCGGTTCAGGTCCAGCTCAATTGCACCTGGAAATGAGGACAGGTGCAGCTGATAAACACATGATTATAATGTCCACAAAAATTGCAATCAGTGTGAAAATATGCATAAACTATTGATTTTCTGTACAGCAATCCCTGTATACATTTTTGAAAAAACACTTCAAAACAGTGCTGTGAAACTGGCCTGGCAAAATTAGAAATAACTACTTTTGAAAGCACTGGACTTATATATACAGTTGTTGGAGCCAGGTTATTATTGTAGAATCCAAATCTTAATCAAATTTGACCACAAGAGTTGAAGTAGGACTCATTGCATGGAAATGGATGAAATCTAAAGAACTCAAAGCATCTTTCCTTTTTAGTTCTCACCCAGGAAGTCGTCAGCAGAGAAGTGGTCTGCATCCCAGACCTGCATCGTGAGACGAGGAGGGATCTTATATTCTGTCTCGTCCCACGAGAACATGGACTCCTTCTTGGAGATAACGATCTTCTCCTCAGCCATGAGGTAATCGAAAGGGAAGACGAAGCGCCAGTTAAAGTTGCCTTCACCAGTCAGAGAGTGGTAATGTACATCTGTGTCCTGTTTATCTTCCTGTTGCCCTTTCAGCCATCTGAAATGGTCATGGACACAATAGTTAGTAGAAGGTCTAAAAGAGTGTGACAAGCAGATGGATTTTGCTGTAGGACCTTGCCAATCATGCATTTTAATATATAGGAATTTTCAATTTTCCGACACCTACACTATATTGATTTAGTCACTTAAAAAACTTCCACAGGCCATGTTAAATATACCTGTCTTCTAACAAGAGAGATGATGCTAGTTGGTTACAACAAAAACATGTAATGTGGCTCTCCAAATGGAAATCAGATTTATATGTGCATGTTGCAAAGTGGAATCTGTTTTTCAGGCATTCATCTAAACCTGATTTGATGTTGGAAATCCACACTCTTTACAAAGCCATGCATGCAAAGAAATCTACCAAAGTGTTGTGGGTGAAATTTAGACAAAACCTTGTAAGATGAAAGCTACTCTTTAGCATATGGTCGCAAATAACAGCATAAGCATCAAAGCTCTGAATTCTATCTTGGCCAACATTGGATAATAGAGTGAAAGTGGGTTTGTGTGTCAGGAGGAACAGGGGAGAGAAGCTACACTCCTAGTTCTCAAAATGCACAATTAAAATGTAAGAAATGATGCAGACTACAGATTATTTTCAGCCTAATAAAAATACTTAACAGCCCTGACAGAAAGTGCTGATGTTTAAACTACACTACAATGGAGCCTGCAGAGAGTTAAAAGCATTGGGAAGATTACATTTGGATACAAAATAAAGGAAAACACATGCTTGATCTTAAGTAACTCAGCAACTAAAACAGTGCAGGTCAACTGCAACATTAGTTCCATCTAAAACATCCCCGTTTTTTTAAAATTCCAGTTTCATGCAGTGGCTGGTTTGATCCAATCCTGAAGTTTATACTTAAACATCATCATTAAGTTTTTGGGGTTGTTTAAGGATGGCACGCTGTTTTGTTAACTGACAACTTCACCGGCGACACCAGATCAGATGTGGGAAAAGTGAGTTATGTTAACAGGTGCAGGAGAGGAAGATGTTGCAAAAATACTGACACAAGTACATTTTAAATCATAAATCCAATTCAGGCTGCAAAATAGCAAAAGCTCAGGTTTAAAAACATGCTCAACATCACCAAGCACTTTATTAGAAACACATACCAGAACCATGTATGAAATTTTACTGTCAAAACCAAACATAAAAAAGGAGAAAGAAATTTATTTAGATTAAATCCAAAAGCCTTTTTTGTGAGCTGCCCACATGGTTGACACTATAGTCAACTCTGTGTTGCAAGAATGGTTCTGCATATAGAAATGCCTTGATGATGGAACAGGATAGCAGAAAAAAACAAACATAAAAGATAGAAAGACTTTGGCCAGATCAACAGACTGCTGTAAACTGTTTGCCACAAACAGAAATCTAAGTCTGTGATAATCAAAAGCTCTCAAAAATGCTCAAAACAAAGCTGATTTGAGGGCAAAAGAAAGAGCTGCCCATTCTCAATAGAATGCTTGGTGAGTGTGCTGTTATGCTCACATGCTCACATTATGTTCACGTGCAAGAGTTTTAGCTTTACATATCTGAAAAGTCTTTTTTTCAGAAGGTAAGCCAAGTTGCAGCTGTAGTGTCGGACCAAACCACTTAAGTTTAATGTGCAGCAAATGTTTGACACAGGGTCTGGTGGCATCTTTTGGGCCAAAATTTTTTTTAAAGCTCAAAACTTTTAGGTTACTGTAGTTCCACTAGGTGTAGAGTATTTAAGCTAATATACATTTCAAATGCTGTTTTGTACTTTTGGCGTTTAAACATGTTAAGTCATTGTTTTTATTGAAACAAAATTGACTAAAAGACCTGAGACATGCCAGGTTATGTATGTGGTTTGGGCCTGCCTGTAGCAGCTTCTCATCTTTTCCAGCGTGCTGGTGGAAGTGTTAAAGACAAGCAAGGCTGCATGCTGAGTGAAGGGTTAAGAGAGGAAATGCCTCAAATAAATTATTTGAGGGTTTCAGGAGGAGGACAGCAAAGAATTTGTACGAGCCATGCGATGGAATAGTGATTTTACCCCCTGACATAGATGTCAGACATCTTCTCTCCTGTCATGAAAGCATCGTCCTCTAGAATTACGTCATCAGTGTTCCAAATAATAACACGAAGCTCAAAGCTAGACACCGGCACAGCATTGACCGGAGAAGAGAGAAAGGACGACAGACAGGAAACACACCACAAACAGAGACGCGACACAAACACGCACACAGAAAAAATGGAAACAAAAAACAAAAAAAACAAACGAAAAAAAGGTTAACTGCACCAAAATAAATCCACACACAGCTCACACCCACGGGATGAGGCTTGCCTGCCTCGTCCCGCTGTACCTACCCCCTGACAAATATGTCACTGGACTTTTCCCCAGTGAAGTAATCATCGTCCTCCAGAATTACTTCGTCAGTATTCCAAATAATCACCCTGAGCTCATATCTAGTATGGGGGGGGAGGAACACATACACACATGTGGATGCACTTATATTTGACTTTAAATTTTACAATCTATATATGACATTAACAAGTCAAATGAGACTCACCACTATTTAACCTGGAAATAAAACTACATATTCTGTTGAGAAAAGTTTAGATACCTTGAAAGCAGTGAATAAATCTTGTTTGTGCAGAGATTAATTGTGGTTAATAACTTTCCATAATTAAAGAAAGTAAAATTCCAGGTATTGTGGGCAAAAGAAAGCTTAGCTATCTGGATGCACCTCTTTGGTTTCCGTGGTGAAATGTCGAGTGCAGGTCCTGGCGCAGGCACATCCATAGGAAACATGTCCACCCACATCTCAAGGCGGCCCTTTGAGGGAAGAAAAAGCATTATGATTTCCAAACTGACCTGTTTTAGGACTCGATACATGGGAGCATTTTCTGACCTGTTCGATTCCAGGTTTGTCAGGGTTCAGCAGGGGTCTGGTCTCCACGTGTTCAGGAACGAGCTTACAGCCAACCCGAGGAATCTCCTCCCAATGGTTCAGCACTGTCAGGGCCAAATGCTCCTCGGTCTGCCTCTTAAGACCTGGTGGGTGAATATTAATATCAAAGGTAAAAAACAATTTAAAAAAAAAAAAGAAACATATGTGAATATTAAAAGACAATTAGGACATTACATAGTTATTTGCTGTTATCACAGCTGATTTTACCATAAAATAGTGATGCAGTTGTTCATATCACTCTTGTTACACTGCAATCATACCATTTTCATCTTCAATTTCTGTTGGTCCCGTAAAGATTCGATTTGCCACCTTGACTTTGCCGCCTGGGCCATAATGAGGTCCATCAATCTTGCCTTCCTTACAGAGCTTTGCCAGGATCTGGGTAGGCTTCATTGGGTCCCTCCAGACATTGTATCCGTGGCTAACAGCAGTAGATATTTGTTATCAAAAGGTTAACTAAGTGCTGTCAAACACAACCAAGACAATAACGCTGCTGCTTACACGGAGTAGTTGGATGAGACACCACAGGTGGCTCTGAATTTGCTGTAGAATCGATTCTCCAAGTCGATCTTTGTCTCTCCAATCAGGTCATCTGTGCCGACCAGATCCCAGTCATACACTGACACTGTCAGCATGGACTCCATTGGGAACGTGGCCTCAATATCGAATGATCTAACATTTGACAAGCAGGTAATTAGCAGAAGTTGGCAATCAAAACATAACTGGGGAAAAAAATGATGACTGTCAATAATCTGTTTGATTTTTGTGATTTCCTGTCATCCTTGTGCCAGAACAGCAGTGAACACATCTGGCACAGGGGATAGAAATATAATTTCTGATTTGACTCACTTGCCAAATACAGGATTAAGCTGCTTGGAGATGTAGTTCTCTTTGTCTTTGACCTCTGACTTTCCTAGCTTAATGACAACGTATGGATCAGCCTTCCCATTAATGTCAGCAGGATGGAGGTCTGTGGCCTGTGAAGAAGTGGAAGAGAATAATCACCCTTACGCATTTTCCAACTTCAATTTTACATCTTGTTTAGCCTCTAATTTTTTCCTTAAACAAACCACCTACCCTGACCACATAGACACGAACAAGAACGTTGATGGGATCGTTGTGTGGAATGCTCTGGAACATTCCCATGTTAGGATCGAATCCTGCTTCTCTTGTGATTTCCTCAGACAGAGGTAACTTATACATGCACAAGGATCCCTGGGTCGCAGATAAAAACAAACTTTATTTAGAAATGTTCTGTTAGCTATTGTATGGTCTTTGTTATTTCTGTGCACAGTTCTTCCACCTTGAATCTACCGACAATCCTGTCATCATCCAGAGCATGTTCATCATCATCTCCAGCCTTTCCTCTGTACAAGTTGAATGTATGAAGCCAATCTTCAAAGTTTCCATATTCCACCTCTAGCTCCTTGTTATACACCTGCATAAACCATTGAAGACAATAAGAATGCTTAATTTTCTTAAAATTTATAAAAAACACTGTAATTTTAAGACTTTCTGTAATTTATAACATTGCATGAAGCACATACACAACTATCCAAGTAGTGATTGGATAGCACATACATTTGTAATACTAGATGTTAAACATCTGATAAAATGATTTTGTTTTCTTCTGGAGACATTAGTTTCTTCTGTAAATACTAAAGAAGTATAGAAATGAAGTCTGCGAGTTATATGGTAATACTATACTATTGATGCTGACCAAAAGGTTTTGCCAGTGACTAAGGAGGCACTTTTTTGCCATTAAATGACAGCCAGACAGTGCTTTTGTTGTGCTGTTTAGCTAAGGATAAATATGACACACTTACAAACAGCTCATCCACTTTTGCTTTATTTGGTCGTCTCTCGGATCCATCAGTGGCCTGACCCTTCTTCTTCTCTTTGGATATCTTCTTCTCCTTGCTCCTCTGGTACATCCTGGAGCCTTTCATATGAAGGTCGTCAGGTTTGATGTCTAATCAGAAGGGTAAAAGAAAGCAGACAAGACAAAGATGCAGTCATGAGGGGCATACAACACCACAGCTCTGAATAAAGTCATGATGTTTGGTTTGTCTTAACTCAGCACTATTGAGGAAATTGCTACACTTCAATTTACTGTTAGGTGCCTATGAGAGCTGAGAAGTTTTTTTTTTCTTTTAACCATAAATAATATTAAAATGCAATTCTTTATTCTTATGTTCTTATCATCAGTTAGTATAAGACATATAACTTGTGATGTTGTGATTTAATCTTTAGTTTTCTTACCTCTGTACGGCAGAGTCAGGATATCAAGCTTAAGCATAACACCATTCAACATGGTTTTAGTACAATTTAAAGAGGGGTATACATGATAAAAAAGAACACCAGCAAGCAAATATAATGTCTCTCATTCTATTAAATAGTCATTAACTTTTTGCGGAAGAGAAACTCAAGAACCAGTAGCTGGTATATTTGTTTAATAATCATCAAAGCTTGCCAGCATGCCTCTCCCTGATGTTTCTGTGGAGTTCAGTACCTGCTGTCTCAGCTGCTATCTCGAGGTCTTCTTTCTCCTCTGCCTCTGCCTGAGCTGCCTCCTGGGCTCTGAGGGTCTGGCAGATCAGAAAAGAAAACTATAAGTTAAGTACAGCAAAAAAATGTATGGCTAATCTTGGGAAGTTCGCAAAAACACTGAATTAGAATGGACTAGAAAGGTGAACCTCTTTAAGCGTCTCTATCGATGCAAAATATTTGGACCACCAGTCCAGTACTCTCTCGTCTGTCTCATCCTCCTCCTCAGTGGCCCCCTTCTTCTTCTTTTTCTTCTTCTTCTTGTCCTTATCACTTTCTTCCTCATTCTATTAAAAGTGCAGATGCTATGATTATTCAGGTTTTTCGCCACTACGTACTTAATCACCGCACTAAACACCAAGAGCCAAATACATTCTGGAGACTACTCACCATATCTACTTTCACAACAGCGTCAGACATCTATGATAGAGCATGTTACATAGGACAACACCAGGATCCAGCATTAATACACACAATGGTTAGCGATCAGCACGTGTAAGAGACAGTAACAGTAAAAAGGACTGGACAGAGAACAGGGCTAAAACATCCAGCATTTACAGACAGAGATGCAGTGAGTATAAATACCCAGGTAAAAAAAATGAACATCTTCAACTAAAAGGGAAAGTCTTACGGCATCTAACTTGACAAACGTGTCCATCTTCCGAATATGAGGCTCTGTGTCCAAGTTGACGATTATGTCACCTGCGGGGCGAGAGAAGGTGCGGGAAGAAATGCTGGGTGAGGAGCGAGGCTGGGAGCCACCATTGGTAAGGACCATGTAGCCATTCATGAGCTTAGCTGGATTGAAGCCGGAGATTAAAGCGAGCAGCATTGGCCAGCAGAGAAGGAAAGGACAGCCAGATACATGCAAGAAAGGAAGAGATGGAGGAAAAATGCAGAAGGGAAGGGTGGTCAGGGCAGAAAGCAAGCAAAGAATTTAGCATAGTTACTAAAGTACAAAGTGCCTTTTTGAGGGATCAAAAAACTGGATCTGAGGTAACAGAAGACAAATTGAATTGACACTTATTTGCAATCATTTTTCTATTCGAACAAGTGATCTAGCACAAAGCCTAAAAATGTAGAGTACTAACCCTGACACATTTGTTGGAGGGATGCCCTGTGTATCTCTCAGCAAAGCAAATGTTATATCAGTCGACCTTTTAGTCTTTTGAAGCAAACTACAGCCTAAACAATCCATCAAGTAAATTTCCTGAGAATAGACTTCAAACACACACCAAAATATCACAGACTTGCCACTGATTGATAAGTATGCACCTGCAGAGGCCCAGTTGCCGGAGCTCTTGTCTGGAGCACTGTAAATGAAGCGCCTCAGACTGGTAACAGCGTGGGATCCCACCAGGATGTAGCGGCCAAAAGCTCTGCAGTCCACCACACGGATATTAAGCGGAGGATGAAGAAGCTCGTTTTCTGGAAGGTCCTGTTACAAGAAAATAGGTAAAGGTATTCATTTCTGTCTGAAAGTGAACATTTAGGAGCACTAAACTTAAGACTGGCAGGCATACGCACCACCTCAAACCATTTGACCAGAGTGCTGAAATTGGGGTTCTTCTTGTAGTTCTGAATGAGGGCAGATTGAACTCCTCGACCTGCACATTCTATGTCTACGCGGGGACGATCCACCAGAGCTAAGTTGATCCTTTTCAGGTCTCTTAATCCCCAGAACAACACCTGAAGCAGAGGGAAAAGCAATTCTAAGGATTGGATCTGTGGAGCTCAAAACACAATGTTCCAACAGCAGGTGGAATTCACCTCTATGCGGTAGCGACTCAAGACAGGCCTGATACCCAGCGGCACAGGGATGATGGGTCCACGCTCTGTGTCTGTTGACCCTTCGAGAGGGGGAAGGTCAGCCCTGCCTCCTTGACCAATCTTAATGAGAAGAGAAACCAGGGTGAAACATATTCTGTGGCACCTCATCAGATACACCCCCCTAAATCGTTTTTGTATCAACTGTAGTTTCAGTAGAGTAACAACTTCAAAGCATTATGGTGAGCAGTGTCTATGGGGAAAAAACGCTAACTACTGTCATGCGGACACTGAGAACAGTGTGAATTAACAGCACAGTAGTATCACAAAGTGACTTGAAGAGAGAAGATGAAAGAGGAACCTTTATTTGAGGAACAGCAAAGTTATGAACAGCGATCAGAGCTCGCCTGATTTCCTCAGCATCAAAAGGTATCTGTAGGCAGCAGGAGGAGATAGACGGGAAATGCATGTATAAAAGAGAGGGACACGTGAATTCTAGAGGAGGTGGAAAACAGGATGGAGGCAGACAGAACTTCTGACAAAGACAGAGTTAAAGTGAAATGATTCCAGAGCCAGAAAAAGGCCAGTTAAATGGAGTTGTAAAACAGTTTCTAAAACTATTGCTAACTATCAAAGGAGCCGGTGATGGTTTTAACCACTTGAAATTAAACAAAGCAAAGCATTTATGAGTGTGGTGTTGCCTTTGCATTACCTGCAGCAGCTCAAAGGCCGCCAGCAGCTCCCCAGCCGAGCAGTTCCCTCTGTATATCTGGTAGTATTCCAGCTGCGGCGGGAACCTTGGGGGCCCGTAATGCTCGTCACACATCTTGATGTTGGGCTTTGCAAATGTCCGACCTATGAACTCTGCCTTGCCCTGTGCAACACAGTACGTTTCAACAGCGAGCCAGGACAGTGACGGGACAAGGGAAGGGTGTTAGGCACAGGTGCTGGAGTGCAGTTAACAGAGCAACCACTTGATGTCAGTATCTGTCAATGTGGTTGGTAACAAAACAGTGCGATTGCCAAGAAAACTTGTGAAGAAAATCATAAAAGTAATTAAATTAATTAAAAAATCGTTAAAAATATTAAACCATTTTTCCATGTGATGCATTTATGAAAATTACAACAACATTTTCTTCACTTTAGCTCTTCACTTGTGTGCAAACTGGGAGGAAGTTTGACCGCCAGCAGTCCAAGAACTATCCCCTGCTGCTACAGAGTTGACACGTGGCATGCAAGTTTTTCCAAGATCTTTTAAAAACTTGACAGGAGCCATGCTTTCACACTCTGTTCAGCCAGCATGAGTGAAGTCGGAAACAATGTGAAGGGCAGGTTGGAAAAAGACAAGGGTGGACAGACATGAAAAACAGGACAGATGGAAAAGCAAAAGCACATTTGGTTTTAATAGCACTGTTTAAAATGAGTTGATTAACAAATATTATCTCTGTGCAGCATCCATTCAAAAGATCTTACCACAGTGTCCTGGTCATAGAGCTCCACCACAATAATCGGAGGGTCATCTCTCAGCTCACTGGCCTCGCCAAACAGCTCCACGTCGTCAAACACCAGCAGCTGGTCCCAGGTGGGGCAGAGGGTCTCACTGAGAACCTGCGGAACACACGTCTCTGGTTTGCACACGATCAGTACAAGCGCACGCACACACGAGCAACACACACTTTCCACGTACCTCAGTGACTTGACTGTGTGTTGAGAAGAAGACTCTGGCAAACGGGTCTGAAAGCCCGCTGCTATCTGCAGCGAACAGGCTGCGGGCCTGGTACATGTGTGCTCTCAGCTGGAACACCTGCTTCACTGTAGGACACACACACACACACACAAACGTGTGATATGAAACTTCCCAAGTAAAAGTGATCAATAGCATGATGTTCACGTCTGAGTGAGTGTGGTGAGTTTGTTTTTTAATTCTTGTTTGTTTACATTGATTTTAGAGTTAAAGCTGCAAAATGCTAATTGAGGTAAAACAGACAGTTAACTAAAAACACGATAATGCAAAATGTGTAGCATGTGTGTGCGTTTTTATGTTAATTTGGTTATGTTGGTGTATAGATGGTTTAATACCCCAAACGCCACATATTAAGCATCTATGATAAATCAGGTTTGTCAGTATGGATTTGTTGGCTGTTTGACACACACAGAGCAGTTGAGAGGCTGAATCAGTTTCCCTCACAGTACACAGTGCTTACTATTGTAGACTAGGCTGACTGGGGGCACAGACTGAAGACCAGGGACAACTTTCGAGGATTTAATCTCTTCAAAACCATTTGGGAGTCCATTAAGGAAGTCTTTCCGTTGCTTGTTGAGACCCAGCCACAGATACAACTCCAGCTTCGCCTGAACTGTCCAGCCCGCAGGACCGAAACCCTTCTTCCCAGGCAACTGTGGACCAAGGTTCCAACGACAAAAAAAGAAAGAATAAATATGAAGAGTTATCTCAAATCTAAAACAAAACTGTTACTGGACACAAAGTGTAGATAACTAATGTGCAGGATGCCCAGTTAGCATCCACAAGTCCTTGCTTTTGAACTCTGTGATTCAGTTTTTTATAGACATAGTTTAAACGACAGCCAAAACATGCACTTAAAATAGTCATCATAAAGTCTATTTGCCATAAATTCTGTCTTACCAAAAACAGAATGAGTAAGAGATGGAGTGAGAGCAGTACCTTAAGGAAAACAGCTTTGACTTTTCCACAGTCTTTGCCAGTTTCCTCATCCACTATGGAGTACAGGATGTCTTTGGATGGAATCCGGGCATAAGCAATGCGCTTGTTGTGGCTCATCATCCAGACGAAAACATCTGGGATGCTGTGTTGAGGCTGAACAAAATTTTAAAAAAGGAGACAGTTTTCAGCCCTTTTTCCGCACTGATGATTTGCCTAGTAATTGTTTGTAAACGTAGAATATTTTTTAATATGTATGACTAATTCTACTATAATGAATCACTACCTCATCAGCAAGGAAGCGAATCCTCTGCAGGAAGTTCTGCGCCAGCTTGAATTTGTCTTTAACTGTGTTTTTCTTCACTTGTGCTCGTATCTGCTTGGCCTGCTGGCCCATGCCGTCCTGCAGGAGGAAACATGACAGGCCGAGATGATGGCCCCACTGCATGACTGCAACAGCTACAGAACACTTTGCACTCTGGTTCAATTCCTTTATGCAATATAGAGAATTTGCCCTGTTGTCCAACATAAACTCTGCATTATTAAGGATGTCATTAAGGTTTTCTGCAAATGGTAATAATGTTATACTGAAAATATGTTTTAGAAGTGTCTTTGTTTGGTATCCACGACAACTCGGTTCTATGTATCCACAAAATAAATTAGTTCAACAACTGAACTTCCAATCATTCCACTTCCATTCCGCCACATCGGTAAAGCATAAATCCTACCATCTCCCTCATGCATGATTTCAGCCGTTCTCGATCGAGTCTTGTCCTGCCTGACTGGTTAATATCCTTATTGGCCAGTGTCACAAAGCGGCTGCAAAAGCAAAAAAACAACAAAACAAAACACAGAGGAGGTAAATCTAAAATGATGAATAGAAAGGGTTATGTAATAAAATACATGTTTGAATAGTCCTTTGTGGACTCATTGTAAAAAAGAAATAATGATGGTTGTGTCAATCCATCTGAGGGGTAGTTTTGATCCTATTACTTCTGATAGCAACTGTTTGTATGCACCGACCACTAGCACTGATTTTACTAGTCATGATTCAACACCAGTACAATAGTTTATCAGAGTGTTGATTACCTGCAGCCGACACTGAGCTCCTCCAGCACTCCCCTGAGTCTCCGCTCTGGAAAAGCCTTCTCTGTCTTAATGATTTCTTGAACATCATTCAACCCTTCTTCCTGGTGGGACACACAAAAAGATGCACTTTAAAAGCCAGCAAATTGTCAGAACTCACAGACTCTGTAAACCTATGAAAGCCTATTGTTAGGATTAAGTGAAGTTAAGCTGCCATCGAGAAAAATGAAAGGACTACTGACCAGCTTATCTGCAATCTTATCCATCATATTGGAATTGTAAAGCCGTCTTCTCTGGTCCTGCCACAAGCTCTTAATGTAAACACATGGCTTCTTCTCAAAGTAGGGGAGATGGAAGTAGTTTCTGCGGAATTCAAGCAGATTCATTGTCTGACATCCTTAAATGCTGTTTGGTTAATATTTATCTGCAAAAGCTAATTTTCCTATCTTATTGAACCAAGTTCAACAACCTGACCTGTCAGTGATGACAGGCTTCATGGGTGGAGTTGAGGAGACAGACACGAGGTCCCCGTCCTCCTCTGCCTCATCCTCACTGGAGTTCTGGATCAGCTCATTCTCTTCCTCTTCGCTCTCCCCATCTTTCCTTTTCTTCTTTGCTGAGGAGGTTTTGCTCACTCCATCTATCTGGTTGCCGTAGTTGCCTGTTGCATTCCAGACAGTGCATATGGTCACAAGAACTTTTGATTTCTGTTTGCTCTCACCATATAAAGCAAAAAAAAGAAAGAAGATGAATTACCTATTGTGATTTCAAAACTGATAGCTTTGTCACCAATCTTCCTGTCAATCATGGTGGCTTCCAGGAAGGAGCCAAAGAGGAAGAACTCTTCCAGTTTGCCTGTTGCGCTCTGATGAAGTGAAAGTAAGAACAATTCAAGATCATTTGTTTGCAGTTAACTAAATGCTCACGAGGATGGCTGAATTACTCATTTATATAACCCAGACCATCCTGGGATCATTCATACCCTGGTTTAACTGAATCCGGGCTATGAATAACCTCAGGAGGATGCACAAGGGTTCAAGTTTTTTGTTCACTTTGTCATGGCATTTATTTGCAGTAAAATATAGAAATATATTCAAATCCAGTCCATAACTAAAATAAAATGAAGGAAATAAAATCTTCTCACCTCTGAGATGTTGGAGACAGTCTCCATTTGAACCTCAGTTGAGCTAAGGATCTCAGGTGAGGTGGTGTCCAGAATCTCCACAGCTACAGAAACTAGGAGACGAGCTCTGAAGGAAACCCCTTCCCCGAGTCCATCATTCAGGTCCTGGTGCTCATCCATCAGTGTGTACTGACGAGTGGAGCCATACATGTTGACCCAGGCTGGACCCAGGGTTGGTAGGAATCCTGAAGGAAGTGAAAAGAAGTAGAAAACAATCCAGTTTTTTTTTTTTTGGGACTAATCTTTTGTTCAAATAAAACATATTCCAAAGGGTCTGCATCCACAGCAGAAAGCTAATGGACTTTTAACTGTGCGCTACAAAGATATCACATCAGGGCACATTTTCTCTCTTCACTGTGATTAAGTGATGTTGTTTACTTACACTCTCTATCATTAGCATAAGTCTTCCAGTTCTGCATGATCTTGCACATTGTAGTAATCTCTTGTAAATCTCAAAAAGTTTTACAAACTATGTATATTCTGTTGGATACACTTGCCAATGTAAACATATTGATAAGTTTGTTTAGAGCTGAACAACACACGTTGTATATCTCATTAGGTAACGGTTTAATGAATGCTAATACATCAGTCTATTTATTGACTGCAAGTCAGTTTGAATGACTTTAAATTGGACAAGACATTGAAAGTGGATGGGCTGGGTCATGGCTCACTTCACAGGCTACCGCAGCTACAGACAGAAAAATAGTAACTCATTAAGGCAGAATTATTAATGTATCTAGTAACTGATCATTGCTAATAAGATAAGCTACCATGCTGGCCTTTGTGCTTTGAGCTATACCTTTATCACCATCATTTGATATCTTTCGTAGATCGATGAAATGGGTTCCTATGGCAACGTCATTGACCTTATCCGAATCTCTTATTTGGACCTTGATCCTTTTGCAGAGAGGAGGGAAAAGCTCAGTGAAGATGACCTGCTCATTCCAGATTGGCTCATAACTGCTCTTCTGGACGGAGGTCTTCCCCTGGAAATACAAAGAGAAAGAAGAAATACTATTGTTGGAATAATTTATTTTTCCTTTTTTGTGTGTTATGTTTAATAAGATCGAAACACTAATGTAATGACATACATGCACTGTAGAAAGTAGCAATAAACGGCTTCAAGTGGAATGAAGAGGGAGATACCTTCTGTCCAGCAAATTGCACTTGAACATATGGGTCCACGAGGTCTCTGTTCTCTCCTATGAAAGCCTTTTTTACATTTGCCATGATGCTAGTGTTCATTTTAGGAAGTCCTTCAGCACGGTAGATCTTCACATAAAATCTGGCCCACTGCCTCTCTGATGGAATGCCTTCTGGGAGCAGCAAGTTTCTGGAGAACAACGAGCATATAAAGCATGTTCAGATATTGTCCCCAAAACGTATTACTTTTTGTAATGTAACAGGAGTGAAGTTAGAGGACAGACGTCCTTTAATATACTTGGACAGTTTATGAAAGAATGATTGAATACCAAGTGCTTCATGCATTAATGTTGGTATTAAATACTTTTTTACTAACTCTTCGAGTACAAAAAATATTGTACTTTATCAGTGTTCTCATGCATTAAATTCCCATTTGATCACTTTGCTAATTACTATATTCAGTTCAATTCAGCTTCACGTGTAGAATCCCAGATTGCTACAAAAATCCTCTGAGGGTGTCACCCTTTTTGTGATAGCTCTTAATGAAATTGTTACACATTTAGACATTCCTTTACAGGAACAGAACAATTGTACACATGTTGCTTTCTGAACCAAAGAAAGACATTTCTATTAAGATCAAATTGATCTGAAAACTGCTTATTACCCTTCTATGTCATCCTCATCAGTCTCATTGGCTTTATGGGGTGTCTTAATGTTATCACCCTTCCCAACCACAGCTATGTCACACTTAATATATCCTTTGGAGCTCGCTGTGACATCAGCAGGGTCAGACAGGATGGCCCATTTGTGGTAAAACTGGTGTTCTGAAATGGATGTCAGTAAATCAGTTCATGAATACACACACAAAAAGCAGTTTTGTAGATGACAGATCTATTCAAACTGTTACTTCAGAATGAAGGAAAAAAAAGGACAGGTTTAATTTTTGGTCTAATTCAGCAGTTTCTGATGTGACTAAGGTAAATGCTTGCAGGAACTGCAAATAGTAGTTTACCAGGCTGATGGTACACAGTCCCGACATCCATCTTGAAAGTCCCAACCAAGGTTCCACTTCGTAAAAGGTTTTTGGAATGAATAACCTAATTATAGAGAAGAAAAACTAAGTTCTAATCATGAAATGACCATGCACTGCAAACAGATTTGGAGAAAGAAGACAAAAATACAAGAAGCCCCTCAAGCCATAATTCACATTTGGTCTCACACACATACCAGCATCTAGTAGTCAAACCTTGCTTCTAATTCTTGTGCTGTAACAGAGCATAACAGGATTGCAACCTCAAGTAAACAAACTAAAGAAATCAGCTTAACACAGAAATAATTGTTTTTCCTCTCCCTACAGGCACATAGATGGAAACCATTGACTTGTGAGGTGGAGATAGGTGTGTAATGAATGTGTTGATGACTTAAACCGTGTGATCGTATTCTTACAGTACCTCACAGTTTCGTAGTGATATACATGAGTTTTGATTTACCAGTTGTCGTTTCTCAAAGTCACCCTCCTGTTTATACTTTACGTGCTTTAGTAGCACATTTCACATAAATAACAAAACAGTAAAGAACATGCAGAAAAAGAATTGTATAATACAGCACAAGTCATTAACTCATAACATCATTAACAGGGTGCAGCATGTTAATATTAGAGAGCAGTAAATTCTTGAGTGGCTCTAGTGATAAAGTCATGGCAGATGTCTATAAACATTTTTCAAAGACCACCTTTTGTAGAGCATGTCCAGTTCTGCCAGATAAGTGCTGATCTCTTGTGGTGGTGTCCCTTCGAAAGGCCACCAGATAGGTCAGCCTGCAGCCACTAGATGGTGTAGTGGACTTTGTTTTGTGAGAGAAGAACTCCACTGTGAGCTGGAAAAAACTTGTGCTTGCCTTGCATGTTTCAGATTTTTCCTCACAGATCATGTTGAATCTAAAGGGCAGTCCCAGGGATAATCTGAAGGCCTTGATCATTTGACCTTTTTTTTAATTAAAAAAAATGGCAAAATGTCTTTCACACCACTTTTCATAGTTATTAATTAACCAGACACAAAGGGATATCTTGCTATTAGAATTTTTCAATTGAAAATTCAAAGAATTGCAGTTTTCATGTGCAATAAAGATACATTTTGGGAGATTGTGAAGTTGTTCAAAACTGTATGTTTTCATTTAGAATAACTCCGTACTTAAAGCACGCAGAACATTGCCGCTTTAGAAGCTCTGAGTAAGTATGAATGTCTGTGGGAATAAAAAATTTGAGTACGATCGGCTTAATAATAAAAAAGTTACAAGGGTTTGAAAATGGTAGAAGACCCAAAATCGTCACTTTTTGGGGTAAACTGCCACCTTTGGCACCCATTTTCTCAAATACTGGCAGGAATCCCATGGAGAACTTTTTTTCCCAGCTCCAGTACATATTCAAGATTGGAAAAGTGCTATCGAAAAGTAGTCCCCAGGATAGTGGAGCGAAATCCTATTTCTAGCCACATTTTGAGCTTCAGCCTATGGCCTATGTGCAGTGTTTTGATTTCAGCCTCCAAAATGGAATTAGTATTGCTCTAAAATCAAGCGCTGTCTGAATATATATAAAAAAATAGATATAGTCATGTCAATAAACAGCATAACAGTCCCTTTATTCAAATCCTAGAATGGTATATGTCTAAGAGTTTAGTTTGCGTGTGTGAGAGAGTGTGTTATCATCTCTGAAACCAAGTTTGAATAATAGCTCAAGGGGCTTCTCATACAAAATTTTGAATATTAAGTTTGTTGTTGTTGTACATGGTTTTTATTACTTACTGAGAGCTTGATAATCTTGTCAAACATGACATCAGGGGGAATGTGGAAATCGAAGACAAAATACTGCAGAAAGAAGAGAGAGAATTTTTCCCATTTAATTCTGTTTACCTGTCTCTCCAGAAAGCTCAATAGTAGCAAATGTCTTTACAAAAGTGCAAAACAAAGGTGCAGAACAAGGACAAAGATAAATCAAATGAATAAATGAGAATATTCTACCTGGAATTAATGGAATACAATGAAATAGAACGGTAACACGGCCCCTTTGTTGACATGTTGTGAATGCCCGTGAAAAATAATGAGAAATTATGCAAAAAAGTCACCCTTTATTTCTTCATGTAATTTATTTATTTATTTATTTTAATAGGCTTGGGTTATGAGTAAAATAAGGATAATAAAAATAAGGTTTGACAGATTCATTCAGCTTTCCAATGAATTAATTGGGAAGTAAGAATATACATCCACACTAAAACAAGCTCAGATGCTAATCAAGCAGGAGTGAAGCCCGACTTAAAATGAGGAAAGAAAGAATTCTTGTCAATTCCGGTTTCCAGCGAAATATTGATTTTTTTTTCCTGTGTGACTGAAAATCCCCCATTGTTGGACAGACTGTCACATTCACTGGCTGCAACAATAAAGGGGATCAGCTCTGCACTGTCACCTCTAGTGAGTAATTCCAAATCTACAGTGTTCTTTCAGAGATTGTCTGTTGTTTGAGATATCTACTGCTTTAGATCCATTGAATGCTGTTTATTAGGGTGAGAAAAATGTTAACATTATTATTATCAAAGACGACAAGAAGCCTCAGATGTTCTACTAAAAATGTTTTCTTTGGACAATAACTAAAAGCACAGAAATCTACAATGTTATTCCATAAAATGTAGAGCATCATAACATCCATGAGATTATCATAATACTTTTTGCAAAGAATTCTTTTGCATCGGTTGTAATTTCACAAATGAAAATACAGAAAATTTGTTTTATCCAAAGTAATAAACTATGCACTCATCGTTTACAGACCCATTCTGATCAGAAATGTTTTTTAACTTTTACATTGCACAGCACAGAGAATTTGACACATCAGTGTTATGAACAAAGTGAAAGCATAGTACTACAATATATAAAGTGATAAATAAACCATACCTCATTGTAGTATGGACAGTTTGTGGATTCTTTCATAGACGTGTATTTCTTTTCATCTCCAACTTCGACACACACCACAGGGTCCATGTTGAGGCCTATTAGCTGTCGAGCCTCGATCACTGTGATGCTGATCTGATGGGAAACATTAATACCATCACATTTGACTATGAGGCCTTAAACAAACAGAATTGCTCCCAACAGCAAATTATGAAGCATCAATACTGTCATCATAAATCATTCAGCTGCAAAGTAATTACTCCGAGTAGTACTATTGGGAATCCTTGCTTTGAAGTGAACCAGATAATTTGCTTCAGCTCAGCATTAACAACTCCCAGTTCTTAAATGGCTCTTCATTTGATCCCTCGGACGGCCTTTACATTTTCTTTTTTCAAACATTAGATTTCCAAAGATTTCCATCTCATAACAACCACATACAAAGCTAATTCATATTTAACTATTTATCTGAGATGATCAAAATGGTAGAATTTTAAATGCATACAAGCATCATTTAGATGCACTATTGCCCTATTACCAGAGGAGGTTTTCCTGTGAACTCTGTTTGGTAGCTGTTTCTCAAAAGAATACAGTAGTCAACACTGACAGGTACAGCTGAATAATGATTTTCAAAAGCCGTGCAGATCACAATCTGTCTTGTCATCAGAAATAACTCTGTTGACACCTGATCTGTGCTTGGCATGCAGAATGTTGTGTATCGATGACACAACTTGTTCAAAGAGAAATAGAATGATTTCTTCAACCTGATGTTCAAAGGTTTTGACAGACCACTCATGCAACAACTCATCCACCATTAGCAGACGTGGAACCTTGCCTGGACAGTTTTTGGAGGTGGTGGTGTAAATGCTCAAAAGAATGTCAATGGGTTACTGTCTCAGTTCTGTTTGGTAATTCAGCCTATTTTTTTCTTTTCATGCGGCTGTTTTATGACAACAATTGTGACATTTTCCGTCCAGAATAGTTGACAATGTTTTCATATCTTTATTGGGATTATGGTTCCATTTTGAAGAAGTTACTTTTATAGCGTTAAAAGAAAGAAAAGTTAGCAAAAATGTTAGTAAAACTGATTAAATTTAAGGATTAGCTGTCTTTAGGAAGAAGTTACTCTTTCTAATCTTTCTCTCTAGTACAAACACACAGAGGGCACCCATGCATCCACACCTGATAATCCACGGGTCTTCCAGAGCTTGGTTCCATCTTGATGTCTGGCTTTGACCTAAAAAACAAAGTAATTTTTTTAATGAGGATTTTACATTTAGCAGTGGTCCACCAGGAAAAACAAAAAAACTAAGCTAAACTACTACAAAACGGACCATCACTCTCCATTTTAGAGGTAGATGTTTTAGTTTAGAAACATCTCTGAACTTTAATCAATTGAGATTAAGAATTCAGCGATCAGTAGTTGTGACTGAAAAGGCCACTGAACAGGCTTCAAATTAATACAAAATGGGGAGATACATAAACACATGAAACACCTCATTTGTTGCCTGTGCAAAGATTTTATTTATGAACAATTTAAGTTGACTTTGTCGACTTTTGTCGTGGTTTTGGATAATCCCAATTTCACTGAAAAGAAAAGACCCCACATGTATGGGTTTGAAGCCGCTACTGTTAGATGTTTAATTTTTCTGACTTTGTCCTTTAAAAAGGCCCCTTCTGTAAATGACCAATTTAAGAAATAAGTCTGAGGTTAAACAAACGGGACAGCCTTGTTAAATGTCATACAGTAACTGACCGTCCAAATGTTAGTGTATTGGAGTGTGTGTATCGTGTGAGACCTCTTGTTGGAAACGTTGGTGGTGACGGCAGTAACCGAGGCCAGGGAGATGGTGTCTGGGTCCAATGTCCCAGCGAGGCGAATGGCTTTCCTGTCCAGGTCTTCCATGTCCAACACTGCTGGCTCATCTTATATCCAAATGAAATAAACAATTAATCAAGAAATTCACAAACTGTTTGGTTCCTCATCTGAATTTAATTTTTAAGACGTGTGAATAAACATGGATTCACCTGCTCTCCTGTGGTCCTCCTTAGAACCTCTGATCTTGCCAAGCTTCATGGCTGAGAAAACTCCCTTTCCTGTTCTATTGATGGAATAAAGGGGGAGGTGAGATCATGTAAATCCATCATGAGTTCAGCCTTCCTCAGTTTACTGGCAAAATACCTTCAGAGAAAAATGGTTAATCATTCACTTGTGTACTTCGTCAAAATTCTAGATGCTGCCAAAATGTCCCAGACGTCTTTATAACTTGGCAGGACATTTAATTCCAGTTGATTCCATTCCCCACATCAGCACCTACTAATTCTCAAAACCCTCAATCACAAAACAAGTGTATCCAATGTCTCCACATTGATAATATCTAGATCATATATCAGGGCAGCAACAAAGAGCATGTGATGTCATCAGCAGGACGACAAACAAGGGGCCTTAATAATTAAAAATGAGTGAGACCGGCCAATTTGCTGAGGATATGGATACATGTCAGGAAATTAATGAATAGGAGGGTTTTCCATTTGTTTCCTCAGGCACTCAGTTAAGTTTAACACAGTTGAGCTTCTGCTTTCATCTTTCCATCATTATTCTAAAGCAAGCCATAACCTCATTTCATAGCATAAAACAGAACACAGGGACTGTGGAATAAGCGTCCTATTCAATAAGCTCTGAGCAGTGCTGGGAGTGATTTAGAAGAGGTCTCTTGTAGCCAAAACAAATGGAAGCACAATTATTAATAATAAGAATCTCCTCAAGTTGTTTATAAATGATAGAAAATAGCAAGCATACCATTAAGGATATACTTAGCAATTTTCTAAATAAATCATGGTTGAATATTTTGAGTCGCCATGATGGAGAAATTTTAATAAGCTGCTAATTAAACCTTGAAAAATTAACTGCGAAAGAAAGTAAAGGTTTCCAATTAAGCACTTATTTCTAAGACAGAAATGAAACAGTCTATCCATAAGCAAGTGGTGTTTAAGCCTCCTCAATCATCTCTGGATTTGGCGGTTCATGTTTACACGTATGTCAATATTTCAGTTTGTGATGCAAAGCTGATCGATTATAACTGGAAAAAACAATCAGTCACACCTTTTCGAATTTTTGTTGTGCACAACTATAAACAAGAAAACACGCGCACACACACACAAAAACAAAACACTGTGGGAAAAGTTTTTCATACATACCACATCAAAGTCAGCACTGATCCTGAGCAACTCGCCAGAATGGTCAGATAACTATAAATCCCCAGCAAGAGAATCTTCCAACTAAATGTCAAACTATGCTCCTACATACAGAAAGTACAGAGCTGCTGGAAGACAGTTGGACGGATGATTGGATGGTGCAGGGCAGAGAGGAGGGGAGGGAGGGAGCAACACAGTAACAAAGGCGTTGGGAATAACATATGGAGTCGGACTTGAATATTCTCCCTGTTGCAGTACATCTTTTTTAACAACTCATGAAAAACAGAAAGTGTTTTTTGAAAGGGATGAGATGTAGAAATGCAGTTTTTAAACTGAAACATGTTCACGTTCATGCCTGATATCAAATGCCAGTCCCTAAAAAAAACAGGGATTACTTTATTTTATATTTTCTTTCATAATTATCCAAAAATGCAAGTAGGAAAATGCACCTTAAAAATAACTCAAAAAGCTGTGTATATTACATAGAGTGGATGTCCTTTTTGGAATTATACATTTGCTTTTATATATTTTGAATTTGCATTAATGCATTTCAGAAGTCAGTCAGAGATTTTGAACAATTTACTAATGCTAGCCAAATAGAAACACTTAAGAAGAGATACAAGATTCAAGGGAGAAAATAAGTGCCTGTCTCTTTGTTTTGTTTAGCTTGTAAATTGAGAGTGAATGAATAAGAAAATATAATTTGCTATTAGTATCCTTCAAATCCATCAGTTGAAGGTTAAGAATGCTAATAATTTTGTTTCCCTTTACAGTTATAGAAACATCTTTTTGGTGAATGCAGTAAAAAGTATGTACAATCTTAAAAGAAAATCTGAATACATTTGTGAAAGACACCACACATACTGCAATGTTTCCTCTATAATACATTCTTTTGATTTAGAACAAGGATCATTAATGCACATGAGGCACAGCACAGCAACCAACTAAACAAAGACCATGAGTGCGGAGAGCCTTGATTTGTGTTAGATGCAGAACGAGTTTGAAATGCTTGTAAGGGTACAAAAAACAATGAGTAGTTATTTTTGTGGTGCCTGTTTATAGTGGGACAGATGCGTCTTCGTTTGGAAGAGCACATTTTAAAATATAAGTTGAGGTTGCTGTGCGACTGACTGAGCTTAGCATGTAATGAAAAGTAAAGTAGGTGTGTGAGGGGTGTTGGTGAGCACTGCGGCAAAGCTTAACTCAAAGCTTTTACTGCTTATGCTTTGGCATTGGTAGACTATTGAAATCCCTGAGGTGTCAATCAAGTTTATTTTAAGTTGATCAAATATCTCCTTTCTCTTCTCCAGACTGTGTTATCCCTGATTTTTTTGTATGTGCCAGAGAATTTACTCACAGTTGAAAATCTCCCCCGGCCAGTTGCGTTTAAAGGTACACGGTGAAATTGTATTTTGCACTCCAACAGCCTTCAGAAGTAATGGCAACATGACTTCCACATCATCAAGTGATGAGGTTTGTAATAAAAAAATAAAAAAAATCAAATAAATTGATTAAATTAATTAAAAAAATAATTAATTAAAAATAAATTTCAGTCACATGACTCTGGGTCTGACCGAAAACATGTTGTGGATTAGCTTACAGGTAGACTAGTGCTTTATGTCCTCTTTGCGATAATAGTTTTTCAAAATGGCCAAAGGACATGGAAACCTCCATGGACTTACCCGTCCTATATATACAAATAGGAAATTCTTTGCTTACGAGGAGAAGTCAGATCATTGCAGATTTTACACCAAATGAGGACACATTTATAAATGAAGAAAATTATTTTAGCTAAGAATATACTTAAAATACTACACTATGTCCCTTTAAGGTTATTTTCTGAGCCAATAGTAAACACTTCTTCCTGTTAATGATCACATTCAATTAATGGAGTATTAAATGTTTTCTTTACTGTGGGACTATTTGGTGAATTTGCTAATTCAAGTACATATGTTTGCATTCCTATTTCGTGTTTAATAACTGCGACATCCACTTCTCTTCTTTCTTTCCTCTTTTAATTTTTCTCTTACTGACTATCATCTATTCTGTGAAACTAATATAATTTCTGTACAGGAATGTAGTGAAACAGCTAATGCAGAACAATTTGTCTTCCTTGAACATTATATTCTGTTTGAATGTTTATGGTTCATTTATCTGCATTCAAATTACTTGCTTTAAAAAGAAACTATCTTCTCTCCATCTCTTTCAAACTAACACATACACAAGAAGCTGGAGCACGTTCAGACACGAACAGGTCGGCTCAGAGCGAACATGTCAGCTCCACAACAGCTCCGCCATGCTGCCAATCATCAGCTTAGATTAAAATAAATGAATATAGGAAAAAAAAGAACACTGCAGCACTTAATTATTCACTGACATTTACCATTGGTTCTGCTCAGGGTGAATGAAGCTCAATGAGATACCTACACACCTGTTCTCTCCCTCTCACATAGATTGGCTTAATATATTTCTGTGCTTTCTAGATGCCCTGGACCTAAGCCAGACAAAGATCCACTCCACTAGATACCACTGTTCGGGGATGAAAACCAGATCTTTGAGCTGAAATTTACTGAACCCTCTGCAGTCTTTTTTCTTTCTCAGTACTTTATATCTCTTTTTATATCTCAACTTGAAAGATAATAGATAAAGCAGAAGATTAGGAGATTGACATCATTAATTACTTTTGCGATATTGACAACTTTTCTCAAGTGCATCTTACTGCTTCTTCGTTTGGTAACAGGGGAGTTCATTGATTCAGTAATTGATATTCTTTGCCTGTGATCCAGCAAGAGTTGACTAATAACTGTAGCATCATTATAGAGGCGAATAGTTAAAAGCAAGTTAAATGCAAGTTTTATGCCTTCACAAACAAAAAAAAATCCCCTGAGTCTTTCTGGCTTTCATATAGCAAACAAAACTTTCTTTAAAAAATGAAAGATCAACATCTCCAGTTTATGTGCGATTTTGTAACATGTCTGGAAAGTAAATTTGCTTCCACAGTATCTAAAGTGCTGAATGGTGAGTGTCCTATGTGAAATGAGGTAGCAAGACAATCAGGAAAAGTAAATGAAAAGAACAGGTGTGAGAATAGACTTAAGATTCATGTTTTAATGTTTCCAGTGGTCAATCCAAAAAGCCCTTTTGATTTTTGACTCTGTGATTGCATCTTTTGATGCATCTTTTGAGCATCAATTTTTCTCAACTGTTAATAGATTTCAAATACTTTTTCAAATTCAAATAAATGCTAATCTCTACAGAACGGATGAGAAATCCAAGTGCAACACCGATCTTATCTGCTGCAAACACATGCAGAACCTGAGAGTTACCCTAACAGGCATGTCTTCACACTGCGATCATCCGCACCTTCGGGATCCAGGCTTGAAATAAAAAAACAGCACAGTAGACACTGGTAGTAAAACACATTCAGGAGATCAGAACCACTGCAAAACACAACTGCAGAGTACACTAACATAAACAAATTGCTTAAAAGGTTACAAATACTGAAGAAACAAGCAGGATGATGGTGCAAATACATCCTCTGAATGCTGTAAAAGCCTTATAATGAGGTATTATTATCTGAGAGTCAATGTAGAAATAAAACAAAACCCTTTCATTTAAAGTAATTGCCCCTATCAGAAGGCCCTTAACAACGAGACAGAGCACAAAGCCTTATCTGTGAGGTGTGCCAGCAATGTTCTGATTCACTGAGCTGAAGACTTCTGCTGACAAAGGCCGACTGCATATCTGAAAGGTGACCAATTCTATCAGTGTTCACAAAACATATAAAACTATGTGTTTGCTGCAGAGCGGGTCCTCCCGTACATTAGTCGTATACAACAGCGGAGCAAGTTAAAAAAATCAAACAAGCTGCTCATACATGCAAATACTGATGTGTGGCATCACCAGAAATGACTGTAAATAAGAGGGAAATATATTTTTTGATGGTAAATACAATATTTTCTTATTTCAAACTTTAATTCACTGCATATTTCAAACTTCTGCAGAGAAGCTAAACTAAGGTAATCGATTTAGGGATGACTTGAGCCAGACTTATTCTTCTTTGCGAACACACATGGACAGATGCAAACACCACATACTCTCTGTTATCGTACCACATTCTGGTTTTCCTGGAGTAACAACTGGCACATAATAAACTATTAATTTTCCATCTTGGAGTTGTATTTTGGCTGCCACTACATTCATTCAAAAATCAATTGTAAAAAATGTGGGTTTAGACTGCCCTTTCCTTTTTATTGCTTTCTCTGTTTGTCAAGTTAATACACGACTGGTGCTCTTGTAAACAGTTAACAGGAGGATTGAGAAAATGTAAACATTAGCCATTGAATTATTGTCCATTAATTACTTAATGAATTGTTGGTACAGTGGTGGTGCATGCTCATATGGACAAACACAGCAGATACGCTAAAAAAAAGGAGGATGATAAAAAACTACAGAACACCTGAACCAAATCAGTGAGTTGTGATACATGACCACTCCACACTCGAGCTGTCTTTGGGGACACACACTTTCAGAAAGAAGCCAATTGTGATCTTTTTTTTTTTTTTTCTTTCAGTTTTTTTGTCTCTGGGTCAAATTACCGATTAACCGTTTAACCCTGTGCCGCACATGTGCTGCAGCATGCTCTTTCCATCTGATAAGCTTCACGGGCAGTAAAACCACACCTGAGGTAATTTATTAGTTAGTAATAACACAACTCCCACAGAGCTGGCTTATTGTGGTGCCACTGATAGCACAAAATGCTTTACGTGCGCTGCCATAAATCTTCCTGCAGGCACAGACACGTCGTGGGGGTTGGAAGGAGCGGGATGATCATGTGTGAACCTTGACTCATAAAGAAGGGATAAGGAGAGTAGTGTGTTTAAATATGCCGCTCCTCTATTTTTAGTAGTACCACCGTAAAGTTAATCAGATTTGATCCCTGAAATCAAATGTGAAAGAAGTGGTGTTGATGTCACACATGAATGACCTTTGAGCTTAGACTAATATGGAAAGACATAGCCAGAAGTGGATAGATTTGTCTGTTTTCTCTTCCACTCAGTCAATATTTGACTGATGGAAACCTCCATCTCTATTTCTTATTTAATAAAGAAACTGCAAGACTTCTTTAACATTTTGTCAAAAATTTTGTCAAAAAGGCTTTCAGCAGCTAATACCAATCCATTCAAATCAAAATGTTTTCATGTAATGATAATAATTCTAATGACGATTACAACTTAGACCATTAACTGTCTTTTAAATTTCAAAATGTATCTGAGTGAATGTTTGGATGAGGGTCAGTAAAAAAAAAGCCAAAGTTTGCAGCTTAAATCATTCTTCTCCTTTTTTCTTCTTTTCCCAATCCTCCCTGAAGGAATGAGATAATCAGTCCAGGTTTTTATCTCCAGCACACTCACACCTCATTACCACACTAAGGAGAATTAGGGTAGGCAGTGAAGCGGCACAGTCTAAGATAAGAATGTTCAATCTGAAATAAAAAACTCCACAACCACAGAAGCACTATTAAACAAATAATTTAAAATAAAAAGGCTGCAAATGAAAAGCAGATTACAACCAGCTCATTTGGTTTTGTTCCCTGAGACAAAAAACATTACCCACCACATACAGAATTGGTTAACGTACAACCGCACTGTATGCTAGTAAGTGTGTATATTATATAATAATGAGTTAAGTATTGCCAGGAAATTTTGCATTATTTAGCAACTTTAGTCTTGCCTCTAATTCCTGGCTTTTCAGTTCGTGTCTTAGGCATTTCTTTCTTTGCTCCTACGTTATAGCTGTGGGATGCTCTACAACTTTAGTTCTCCAGATTTTCCAAGTCTGATTTTATAAAAAACAACAAATACATGCACATAACAGCATAAGACACAGAAGCATGTCATATTCCCTCATTTCTACTCAGTGTGCAGCATGATGAAGGGTTTGGAGGTCTGGCTGAGCAGATAGTCTCAGTGGAAATCAATACCACCCACAGATGATTTCATGTACTATTCAGCAGAAAAGAAAAAAGCGGAGAGCGAACCATGCACCAGCCTGCGGAGGAAAAGCCTCTAAGATTCCTGTAACCTTGCAATATTTGGGAAGGTAGAGATTGCAACTCTGTTTACAGCAACCACTAACAACAAATGATTAATAAAGTTACAATCCACAGGGCCTTTACATCTACCAGCAAGACAGATCTAAAACAAAATTTGAAAAGCATAGTTTGACTACATTTTCATTATCAACTCATTTTTATTGTCATGCTTTTCAAAATATGCAAATGTGCAAAAAAAAACAAATCAGAACTTTAAAAAGGTTGAGGTTATAAGACGATAAGTCTTAATACCTCAATACCTTTAGACACTGATTTTTTCGGGTGTGCAAATTAACACGCTCTTTTTATGGTCATCACATTTGAACCAAATTCCCATTTTGCTCACAGCAAATTGTTTATGTGTGAGTTGGAATCCTGACAGAAAATGAGCACAGGTGCTAAGCTAGTGAAAATTTTGGTGCACAACTCAAGGTCAGTCTCTCAGAGAAATTTTTTTTTTCAGTTAGGCAGAAAGTTGAGAATAGGCAATCTAAATGTGTGATAACATTAAGATTCCTTTCATAGAAGAAAACGAAGTACTCTGAAAGTATGTGGACTGACTCAAATCATTCATCTCCCAAAATACAGCTTCAATGTTTATATGTATGTCAGAGGCCACTATTTTCTTTCACTTTTTCTGTTTATGCTCATTGGCTCTTGTTAGAGCTGGATGCCAGATGGTAAGATCTGTCACAAAGCAATACAGCTTCATATAAAAGAAAAAGTTTGAAATATTTTTTAAAGCTGTTGTTCTGTGCATAAATTATTGACCATGACTGACTGTGATGCTCCTTTAAAACAAAACCTCACTTGAATAAGAACTAAAGCCACATGTTCCCCTCATACAAACATGATCTGAGCATTCATCTACAGATATCAACAGCTTTATATGAGGAAATCCACTCTGAAGAGGAAAGTGTAATCTTTAGCATTCTGAAGTCCAGTGTTTACTGCATATCGGTGATAATGTGAATCTGCTGGACAGGTCTCATAAATATATGAATGTTGTTTCTTGGTGTGAGCTGCACAAAGTGATGTCATTTCTTATTCATGTGAGTAAATAGCCTCTTGAAATTTAAGAACAAAAATTAAAACAACATTTCTTGCTTGCTGCTCTCAAACCAGAAACCCAGTATTGCAAAAGTAAGCCGACAGCATCTCACGGTACCAGAAATGAATCCCTTTGATTAGCGGAAACCTTACTTTCTGAAAGTCGGTATGGATCCCTGTAACGATCGTCCAGGAGACGTCCCTGATCCGTGGCTTTGTCCTGACAGCAAGCTATCCGTTTCAAAGGCAAACATCCCATCCCGATCATCAGGAATATCCAAAAATTCTCCATCGTTCCACACTCCCACCGAGCCATCCATCGCTTGGTATCTGATCTCTATGCTGACATTGGTCTTAAAATGAAAGAAGAATTGAAGACAGTAAGTGTACTAAAAGAGGCATACGTTTTCATAAACCAATGTCAGTATTCTTATTTTGTTTTTATCCAAGCAAAAATATTTATTAGTATAACCTCAATTTCAATTAAGTCAGGACAGTGTGTGAAATGTAAATAAAACCCAAAATACTACAAATCTCTTTGAATCTCATCTAAAGAACAAGGTAAGAATTGCTTGCAAAGGTTACAGAACTACATCAGAGCAATAAGATCTGACAATTAGTTTGCATTCAAATTTTCTCAAGTATCATAGCAGATTGTACATTCAGTGGTTTTTGTACTTTTGCAACCTCTAGATTTTTAATCATTATGATTTTTGCCTTTTCACCATACTATTTCAGAAGGAATGAATAAAACATACTAGAAAACAGAAGAATCAGTGTCGTTCCCGTCTGCTGTTCTTTATATATGGTCCAGCCTTCGGAGCTATGAACCACTTCTCTCTTCGTTTTGTTGATATAATGGCTTTGCTTGTAAGTGATTATTTCAGTCTTGCCTTTAAGTGTTGGCAGCATGTTTAGCGTGGTAACAAATTATCTCTTCTCCTTGTTTTACACGTGCGGAATTAGGACTGACACTTTAATACAGGCCGGAAACAGAAGTGTCTCTAGTGTCTCCTCTCGAGTCATGCCTTGCACAAATACTATCCTCCTGACAATGGCCTGATCTTTTATCATGGGGTGGCCAATTTCTTTCTGTGACAAAGATGGATAAAGAGAAAATAAGCTTGGGGCTTGCTTCTTCTCCCCCCCATCTCTTTCTGCTTTGCCTCTTCTTTCCTTGCAGCACATCCTCACCAGGCACACACTGTAGTCCACCAGGAGTTTCTTTTGTTTCCATGGGAACCGCTGCTGCAGAATTGCAAGCGATGCACTCGGCTACTGTCTGTTTAGTTTTACTGTTTTCTTGCTACAGGGATGTAGAGCAAAGAAATTCTTCTCATTTATTCCAACTGTATTGCGAATAGAGCAGGAGACACAGAGAACGACTTTTCATACAGTGGCCTGAGGAACAGTTTTTCCCTCATTGCTGTGAATACCCTCTGAACTCTGGACCTTTTGCTTTAAGGATAACTAAGGACAACTGTTTTTGTTTGCCCAACTGATTCCATTTATTTAATCTCTGATTCTGTATCATTACTTCTCACGTATAATATTCAATCCATTGAGTTTGTGTGTGTGATTTAAAGCTTTTGCAAATGTGTGGAAACATGTAAACCCCCATGCGATGTGTCAACATCTGGGAGCACATGTATCAGCTCTCTCAGCTCTGCCAACACAATTCTGCACCCAGTGGAGGTTTTCAATTTCATGTGGTTTTGTTGTCTTTCACACTTTCTCATTTCCCCATACATCTGAATTCCCCCATTATATATAAAACACGTTGCCATCTTTGCATTTTCTTACCTCGTAATTGCTCTCTGTCAAGCTGTTTTGAACAAACTCTAATTTGAAATCTGTGGAGAATGTCTTTAGCATTGTTACTGCTGTGTGTTATTGACTGCTGTATTTCCATCAGATCCTTGTTGCTTTTGGGGTGGGGTCATTATTTGCCAAATGATGACAATTATATCTTTTGTTCACACCACCGTAAATGGAAGAAAACAAGCTCACCAGTTACCACATTAAGACAACCTAAAGCTATCATAAACAGTTTTAGTCCAGCATTTTACCCTATAAATTGAATATATTCAAATTGTTTAAATGAATCTGTGACAGTGTATATAAATCTAAATAGATATGTTGGCTTCTGTGGCTGTTGGGCATCACTTTTCCGAAAAGCATCCTGATACATCTGGTACATCTCGACAGTTTCTGGTTTCTCACTTAACGAAGTCAATTTTAGGTACCTACTTATAGTTTTCTAGCAGGTCCAAATGGGATTAATTAATTATGTTGTGAATAAAATAGGGAGTTTGGACTGCCAGGTCTGATGGTATTATATTAATCATAGTTACGTGTTAAGCATATAGCAAAATTACTATAAAAAAATCACTAAATAGCTCAGAGTTTCTTGGAAATGAAGCACAGACCTCCTGTTCGTGGGAATGTGTAGACCAGAGCAGATTAAGTGAGGATATTGTAGCTCAAGCTCACGGCAATAAAAGTTATTAAAAATGACTTCTGACCAATAATGAAGTGAATGGGATTTGCCTTTCTTTTCATATCAATTCTCTGGAGAAGATTGCCTGAATAAATAATGACTGCAAAAAAAAAAAACCGTAGTCATATGCAAAGATAGTTTGAGTTAGAAATGGATTAGAACTCCCTGGGCTTTGTGCTGTTTTGCTTCGTTAACACAGAGCTGTGTTTTAAAGTTTAGATTTGAAGTAAGAAAGATAAACACTTCTTACAGCACTTTAAATACAGTACTTCTTTTTTAGACAACTTTTAACTCTTTTTTTTTTTGCATAATTTGAAAACAAATATCAGTACTTTTCCATCATTCCATGTTGAACATTTTTATTGTATTCATTCTGAATTGGAATTCAGCCCCCCTGCAGCCCTATATTGGATGACACAGGTCTGGAAAATGGATGGTAGAATGGATCAGAGTGTAGATTTGGTTTCTCAAAATTGTTTTCAACCTAGATTGTGTGCTCTTTTACAGTTTTATTACATTTAAAGATTTCCCAAAGCCACTTTGAGTGCCTACCTTTATTGATGTGTTGTTGTCATCAATGAGTGTGTCCGTCAGCTCCAGATGTCCCTCTTCAGCCACCTTCTGAAGTACCATGCAGAAGGTTCCCACCAGCCTGCAGAAGATTAAATTCAATTAGGTTTTTATGTGTATAGCGCCAAATCAGAACAAACATGATGTCTCAGCACTAAAAAAAACAGCAACAAAAGCCACATAGGCATTAACAGAAAACCATGAGATGAATCATTGTGGGAGTTTTGTTTCACCTTAACCTTATTGGTCACACTAAAAGTACTAACACACTTCATTTATCTATTCATCAGTTCTTTACTATTTTTCTATCTCAGTATGTAGGTGAGTCTGTGACCCATGACCAAGTGGTTTTGTGCTGAGCGTGAACACAGTAAGACTGACAAATTGTGTTTATCACCAGAATGTCACACCTCAGTGTAATGTCACAGTGGCTGGTAGTTCAAAGACACACAAGTGTCCACACACTGATATATTCAAGTCTCATTCGCTGGATTTTCAATAAAAGTGAAAGTTAAAAGATTTTAAGTGTTTAAAAGATGAATTTGATTTAAACAGTGTGACATCTTTAGATATTGGTGAAAGGACATTCTTGTACATGCAAGCATTACAAAATTAGCAGGAACTTCAAGGCTGGCAGAGACTGAGTCGATATCAACACAGCAGTTGTTTGCTGTATTATGAGTATAAGTATAATACATTTTGGGACTAAAACAGTTAGTGATGTGTATCCATAGTTTTCACTTTAAACAGCAAATTTATTCTAACTGCGCAACACCAGAAGGATTTCCAATTATAAAAGCTGAATTAAATGAATTACTGCAATTTGGAAGTTGTAGCTTTAAGGTTTTCTCTGAAAAACCCTCCAACTACTAATAATTTATCACAGAAAATCTTTGTCAAACACTGTCCGACAGCAAAATCTCTCAATTTTTGAAAACAACACACAGAGCAGCAATTCTGAGCTATTTGTCTGAAATGTTGAAAGTGGCCCCAGGGACTTTTACTCTTTTTGCATAGTGAAAAAAGGATTCTTTACATCTCTATTGAAAAGTCCCCGTTACTTGGAACTTGCAAGAAAATGAAAAATCCTCTCTGTTTGCCGTTTGTGTAGGAAAATGCTGGATGCCAACATTAAACTAAACATAAACATTTGCAACATGGTCTGCATTTAACTGTGAAATGTTGCCCAAAGTAATTTAGACAAAATGCCTACTATATTTACTAAAATAGCTGTGACACAAAAGGATAGAGAGCAGGGGAAATAAGACACCTAAAAACATGAAAATGTCATCGCTATTGTACCAGTGACAGCATGATGTGTCCAAAAGTATGCACAACTTTATAAATGGATCTTACAGACCAACTGAAGTGCAAAAATCTTATTTCATGCATGCCGCAAAACTTTGACTTCTCCCTTTAAAATGCCCCTCTCAACATTTTTTAAAATAATAGGACTTATTGATATATGATGTTCCATATACGATTTTGAGATGGGAGCCATTGCTGTGCATAGATCTTTGATCACAGTGGGAAGAAACCCAGTACAGTCCCCATTCAAGCAGGAAATTAGAGCTGGTGAATAATTTAAAGAGTTTCCTCCATAACCGTGTGTTGTTTGTAGAACAATCAGCTGCACATGAAGAATATGCAGTGCCATCAGCATTGTCTCCCAGCCATATGTCTGCTCTACTACACACTCTTTTACACACAGATGTATGGGAAAAAAATATTACTGTTCTTCATATGTCACTGCAAACCCAACTTTCACACTAATATATATTCACATGGTGCTGTTTGGTGCAGATACTTAAGAGCCTGACTGGATGCAAGCTCCCAGGGAAAGATATGATGATAAAAAATGGTGTGGCAGCAGTAATATAAAGATGCAAGATGACGAAAATCTGATGGGATCACAGGCAAGAATGTGAGCTTCCCAACAGGACAATAGGAAGGTACAGATGAGAGAGCACAGAGCACACAAGCACACCTGTCCTCAAAAAGAAAAACATAAAACACTGTATGATTTCATTTATGAGCAAAGTCAGTCAACAAATGCGGGCAGCCTCTTATCCGTGGGCAAATAAAAAGCGAGGGCCTGTTATTATTCTCTCCCTCTCTCTGCAGTAATCCATCTCCATCTCTATATCGCCCCTCCTCACCTATACTTTTTGTTGTCTGTGAAGCAATCAGTGATCAATTCCACCTGCCGCAGTAAGCGAGAGCTCATGTGTCAGGAGAGCTTTGAACCTCGGTAATGAGGAAAATTTAGACTTCCCGAACTTGACTTGACTATGAATTGCTTCATTTGAAAAGTAAGTGACATCCCTCTGGATTTGGAGATGCTCTGTCTGTGAAGGTGTGTTTCTGTATGACTCCCTGATGCACAACTCAGCTGACCAGAAAATGGAGCCAGGGAGGATTTTAATGGTTTGGTCTGGGGAACTTTTTCTGTGAGGAACAGAAATCTCTGAGCAATGTCCCAGTAAAATGCAAACCCGCTGCAGCATAATCAACTATTTCTGCTACCAAAAAGGGCTGATCGGCAGAAAAGCAAATACCCTGAAATTTCCTTTCAGCTTTTGTAATACGTGTACAAGTGCTGAATAATTGAAGCGAGCGGGGCCTATCATGTTCTAGCTCACTTTTTAGCATTTCAAAGGGTGGCATTCATTATTGACAAACAATTTACTTTCATCCTCTCCATAATTCAGAGCTACCTTCCCTTTCAAAATGCATTTTTATTCTCTGCCATTTAAAAAAAAATAAATCAAGGTGCGACAGTGATGGAACATCTAGCTGAAGTGAACTTCAGAAGAAGGAAGTATAACTTTGAAATGGAAAACATCTCCGCAGAGTTCACACTGAGTTTTAAAAAAGCGTTAGAGGTCACCAAAGCGTATTTTAGACACGGAATTTTAGAATCAGGGAAAAGTACCAAACACTGAGGCCTTTTTTAGTGTCAGTGTCCATCAACATGTCATTCTAGTCTGACAAGGGGAGTGTGCTTTAATATCTGCTTTTGCTCTGATGCCTGCAAGCAGAGAGATGTTCAGCATTTTAACAATCAAGAGCCTTAAAACACTTACTAAAAAGTCTTATAGATCAATTTCAGTTAGTTAGTTGGTTAGTTTTTTATTTCAATTCCCTCTACTGGAATATTGACCAGCCAGAGAAAGGAAAGTGGATTTGGATGCAATTTCCTTGTCACGGTGGTGCCCCTGGTTAAGGTTTTTCGTCTCGTCTTTATGTCGTCTCGTCATTTCCTGTTTTATTTTGAAGACTAACCCTCATCTCGTTTCAGGTCACTTGCACTTCCTGTTGTGTCACCAGTCCGATCGTCTCCCTGATTACCTATTGTGTTCACCTGGGGTCCCTTCCCTGATGTGTTTAAATAGTCTTCGTCTCCCCTTGTCCTGTGCCAGAGAATTGCGTATGTCTCGTGTGCCTCTCGTTCCATAGCCTGTCTCTTCATAGTTCCTGAACCCTAGCTTCCTAGCCCTGTTCTCGCCCCCGTCCTTGAGTCCCCGTTATTCCTCGCTCCCGAGTGATTTTGTGTTCAGCTCTCCTAGCCCGGTCCTAGTGAGTTTTCTTTTGTTACTTTGTTTCCCACGTCCTCTGCTCAGAGTGATTTTGTGTTGTTACTTTGCCTCCCTGCTTTGTACTTTGTTCCTGCCTCTTCGGAGAGTTTTCAGTTGTTACTTTTCCCCCCCCAATCCGTTGGAGTGCGTTCTTTGTTAATAAAACCTTTTTCGAACCAAGCTCTGCATCTGAGTCCTCGCTCAGCCGGTCCAGACCTGACATTCCTGTCAAATTCATTTTTAACATTTATAATGATATCATCAGGTTTAAGGGTCATCTTAGTCTAGAGAAAGGAGGGTTAGGTTTAGGGTTAATGTACAATAAATACATTTAAAAAATGTGTGGATAAAGTTTGACCTGTCGGTAGGCCAAAGCAGCTCAGTGAGACATACTGGGATTCAAGAAAACAAATACTCCAATAAATGTGTTTATGCTTGCAGAAAAATTCAGATTAAGCCTGGACTGAGGTTGATTTTGAATGTGGCCTGTTAATGGAGTACAACATGAAGCGATTACGCAGTTGTTCTGTTAGAAAAGTCTAATTGCTTGGCTACTATATGTACTGTGGGAAAGTTACAACTAGTAAGCAAACGTAAAGATAAAAAGACATTGAAAAGGGGAATAGCACAATTACTGTGAGAATAAGTGTTGAGACCATTTATTCTCTCAGCCACAGGAAAGGAAAAAGACTCCTTTGAGATTTAACTGGAAGAAATTGGTTATGATAGAACTCAAAAGAAATTCTAAAGATGAGGAATTATAACATGATAATAAAATATCTTACTGAAATTCAATATTCAGTCACAAAACGATGAAGAAAAAAACACAGTACTGCAAAAGATAAGAAATAACAGTTGCACCATCTGATGTTTGAATCAGTGCTTCTGCAGAAAGCAGAGGCAAGGATCAATGAGACCCATCAGTCGACAGACCAGTCTCTGATATCCAACGACACAAAGCCTTGAAAGAAATCCCATCTCCTGAGTGATACTGACCTATAAACAGAAATAATAGGCTAAAAATAATTATCAGACACGATAGAATCCTTTCATGCTTTTGTTATAACAGGCAACAAATGAATCGAAAGTGAACATTTATCCATTGTTGAAATATATTCAAAAGTACTCAATCAAAATGTACAGATGTGTGTATTCAAACATTTTTTCAGATGCCATATATTCCATTTGCCGAATATTCATTGCAGAGGCCTTGAGTTGCAACATATCTCTAAAGTCAGAAATCAGAATGGGATGTGTAGCATTTTAAGCATTTTCCTTAGCCTAAGCTGTTTTAGTGCCTTAATATTAAAAAGAACATAGAATGTCTAAACCTAATAAAACATCAAGTAAAAAAGAAAAAGAAAAACTGTTTGGGAGTCCTGTGACTACCCCTCAAGTTCCTTCTATTCTCCTTTGAGGAAATAGCCCTGCTGCTATTGTGGCTTGCCTATCAAACTTGTGTATCTCAGAACCATAACAAAAATACACAGTTTAGGATTGGACAGAGGCAGTGCGGTGTGAATGTGGGAAATATGTTGTGATATTTTCCAAAATTATTTTTCAATTTGATCATGTATCAGGAAAATTGGATTGTTGGTTCCATGCATCTTTGTGATGTTGTTGCACTTTGCACGTGACAGCCTTTTAAAACATACAGAAGTAACATTTAGATGACTTGCACGAGTTGTGTTTACAACCATGTGAGTCCCTGATCTCATATTGACTGCAATAATTGGAAGCCTGTGACCTCCAGTCTGCAGAGCAGAAAATGAACACATATGTCTCAGCCACAAGGGAAAGCAAAGAATAAAATGTGGCATCTACACTCCTGCAGCACCGGGGAGCTCATGCATCACTGCCTACTCTTTGTGTTGTCGTAATGTGATCGTATTTATGGCTGTTGGGTGTGACACGCTGGCCTCACAGTATGTTGGTACTTAGTTATGAAGTAGATCAGCTATCATGGTAATGCTGTTGCCTGTGGACATATGGAGCAGGTGTCAGAACAATACGAGCTTTGACTCATCTTCAATTATTTACTCACTTAAACGTGCGTCAGGTTGTTTGTGTCCTTGCATGCTGTGAATGTGTGCACATGCATATGAGAGTGAGTGAGTTTTACCCAAGTTCACATCCGACTATTTTCCTTGGTTCTTGCTTTTTATCTGTATTTTACATGGAATAACAGTCAATTCTATGTGGATTGTGTACATTTATGTATTCTTGCCAAATTGGTTTGACATCACAGAGTGCTAAAAATCAAGGGCTGTATTATGGCCCGTTTCCAGGCCTCTAGGCAGACTTTCTGATTAAAGTCGGTGTGGTGTTACTGATGCCCTCTTCCATGGTTGGAAGGACATCCAGGCCAAATAAAGAAGGTTTTCTTATGTGTGGTCTTTCCAAATCACAGCCAGAAAAAGCAAACTGTGGGCGAGTTTTGTGCCGTTAAGGTTGGTCAGTTTTCCTAATTGATGCCAAGAAACAATTAGCCCCTGTGTAAAAGGCCCCTCTAATTTACTTTAGTCTTTGGGTTATCTGCTTCAGTTTAAGCACTTTCCGTGTCCTTACAGTCCTTCATTGGATTTGCTTGTCTCAAATCTTTATGTTGATTGCATCACATGTTGATCAATTTACATTGATATTGTTGTTGTCTTTTTTAAGTAATTCAGAATCCCTTTGCATTAATTTCTTTGCAACGCTTGTTAATCACTTTTCCGTTTTGTTTCCTTTAATTTTTTTGTGTCCAAAAGTTTTGATCCAGTGGGAGTTTGATTGTTTTATGTTTTAGTTTTCATTAATTAATTTCATCATTGTGTGGTTATATTCTGTTAGAATTTCTACTGTCACATTTTCATAATTTTTCTTAATGTATACATAAGTACAAATTTATTATAAAACTGAAAGCGGGAACCAGGAGCAAAGCAAACCCACCTCCTACATTTTTTCTCTAATTTTTTTCCCATCTCCCCATTCTGGATGTTAATGCTAATGCAAATAATGTCTATCTTGCCAAACAGCTATAAACTTTCATCCATCCATTTTTTCCCACTTATCCAAAGTCAGATTAGAGAGGCAGCAGGTTCAGGACTATCAATCCCTCCATAATTGATAGTGTAATGGCTGTGCTTGCTCTCTCTTTTCATTTTCTTTTTTCCATCTCTTTGAATAGATTTTGTGACTGTGGATTGATCGTTTTCTATACCCAGCTGCTACATTTCATTCCATAAACATCAAGAAGACCTGAGGATATTTTCATGGAGCTTGGACAACGGCTGTTTGATCTTTTAGCTGATATTTATTATATACTTATGGTTTTGGAGCTATTTAACTGAGAATCAATATCTCCACCTCTGTTCAAGAAATACAATTTAATTTATGGTAAACACCATCAATCTGAATATGCTCCGTTGTCCATTAATATTGACAGAAATTTCCGAGTTACTCAGTCAACTAGTTGTTGAGCTGTATTTGGGTCAAAGAACGAAACAGATAAACCGACAAATCAACACTGACACCTCGTCAGATCCCCGGAAAATTGATTACACAGATCACAATGCAAGACTGAGCAGTGAAAACAACGAATGAGTTACAGTATTCAGAACCATTCTGAACTGTTTGACCCTCTAGAAATGATCATATTAGTCCGTGTTCCTGTTTATTTCCATTTTGTTTCACACAATGGCACCAAAAAAAATCTTGATGACAGCTTACAGCGCCCTTGATGTTGAGCTAATTTAACATCTGTCTGCACACCTGTCTCTGGCTTTTTAGCTCTCGCCTTCTTGCCAGGAGATAAGATGTTAGTCACCAGTTACTCTACCCACTTTAACAAACAGCTATGATCACACTTGACAGACATGATGAGATAAAATTCCAAGACAGAGAAACTCAAACATGCTTTACCACCTACTCAGAGAGAGAGACAACAGACAAGTTCTGATGCCTGAGTGGATAATGTAATCTTTCCTCAGTCTTGGCCATTAATTTAATGTAAGGGACATCAGTCAACTGGAGGGCAAAAAACAGCAGCTACAACTGACTGCATTTGTTTTGGACGTTGGAGATGAATGTTCTTGGCTCAACCGCCTCCGACCTTTAAGAGAGTTGAAGGCAAAACTAAAACCAAAGAGAGAAGAATAAAGAAATTGATAAAGAACAAAAAAAATAAGAGGACAATGAAAAATGAGGAGGGGTTTTTGCACATGTAGACATTCATTTACAACGTTCACTGTGGGGGTTCAGTGTTCAGAACACCGGGGGAGCGCTCTGTATGCATCGCCTGAGTGATTCCGACAGAGTTCAGAGCGCAACAGTTTCACTGGGCTGCAACAGAAGGGGAGGAAAACTCAGGCAAAATGATGGCAGGATAACAGGAACCACTGCATGTCAGCTGGATTGACTAGACTGAGACGAGTGTGATTGAGAGACCCTTGAAAAGCACGCTAACAATGAAAACATCGCTGTGGGGCTTCCAGTGGCCGTCCGTCAGAAGTCCAGGCTGCATCCAGACAAACTACACATAACATGAGCTCCTATAGATTTGTTTTGTGGAAACATCCCAGCAGATGAAGAAGCACACTGACAAGGACACTGTTTGTTCTTTGTTTCTTTTCTAAAGTTTTTCTGTCTGGCTAATACAACTCCAGGCTACTGATGTTGGTTGCCTTCCGATTTTTATTTGCGTGGTTCTAAACATCCTGGTCAATGCTGTGGTTTGGAAGCAAGAAAAGCAAGTACAGAAAAAAGACTGAAAAAGAAAATTAAAAGAAAAAGAAAAGAGAACGTTTCGTTACTGGGCTGTCATGGCAGTTTCTTAGATGACTGGCTTAGAGACTAAAACAATATGTTCAGTACAAGTTTCCACTTGTGGCCCGTTGTATTAGCCTGTGTCTTTTTCATGAGCTAATTGTTTGGACAGTTTGTCCAAACCAGGTGACAAATGTGCCAATTACAAAAGCTCCACAGCTATTTCATTACCTCCACCATCCTTGAAACTGATTCATGACCAGTTTTGTGGCTTGCAGTGTGTTACGCAGACAATTTAATCCATTTAGGAGAGCTCTCAGGGAATTCAAGCTTGTTCTCCAATAGATGAAAAACCCACACCATGTGTCAGTTGGAATTGGTCACAGGCTGTGACAGAAATGCAGGACAGGCACCGAAAACACAAACAGTTTACTCTGAAATTATATTTACTGGGCTGCAACTTGCTCTCATTCCCAAGACTTCTCTTAAATACATGTCAAATGTCTCGCAGTCAGTGCTCCTCATAGAGTAAATTGGGGATTTAAAGGGCCACTCACAGAAACACATCACAACCCCAGAGCTGTGATTTTTCTGTTTCAGAAAGAAATTGGATTCAGTTTGGTCAGAGTTATATTCAACCATAGAATAAAATCCCTGGGTGGATTGAAAAAGATGTGGTACATGTATTCTTTAAGGAATACCTCGGGAGAAGGGAGGTGAAGTCAAACACTGCATCTCACCTGTTGGAGAAAACTTTGCTGTAATTGAACACTTGGATTTCTAGCATCTCATTTCCATCCAGCTTGCTGGCAATGGGCCATCGAAATGTCTGGAACAGACAGAATATCAAGGGTTAGAAAAGACAGGCAACAGAATAAAGAAATTAAAAACAAACGTTTTGTATCTGTTATATCCAGATCCTGGTATGGACTTTTAACTAGATTTAAAAACTTTAAAATTAGCTTATGTCCCCCCAGGTGATAGCTAGTTGTATCGTAAATTATTAAAAGAAATGACAGCAATTTCTAACTTCTTGTCTAACCTGTGGTCAGACATTAAATCAAGATGATATAATAATCTATTCCTTTAAGACACTCAGAATCCATGAAGTGATTAATGGTATGTCAGCACAGTTTTTTTTGCCTAAAGTATTTTTGAGTTTGAAGGGATTTCTGCCAGTTGCTGAATTGCTGCTATGCTACAAATTATTGCAATGTTTTATTTATCACCATAAACATCTTCAGGTTAGCACCAGTTAAGAATTGTACAGAGTTTTATAACTTGAAGGCAAACGCATGAAGTCAAGCAAACTGTAAATAAATCCTTTGAAATGTGTTGCTATCCTTGGGTGAAGAGCTCCAGTTGTGAGAGTGAGAGAGTGAAGGAAAAGCCTCCTAAAGCGTCTCACTTTAATTACCTCTGACAACTGGTGTGAAGGTTTAAGGTGTCTTTGACAAGGAGGTTTTTTTACTTTCACCTGAAATCTCTTCAGGGTTGTGGTGTAATACTGTAGACACTTTTTAACAACTTAATCAAGTCAGTAGGTACAATAACTGCATACGAAGTAACTCATCAGAGGCTTTTAAAACTTTAGACATTATGAGAACGTATGTGAAAGCATTTTGAAGGTTAAAGAACAGAAGTCGAGGAAAGTTATAACAGCTATGTTAAAAACTCCATGATCCCCATTAAAGGCTTTTTCATGGACATTATTAATGTCTGACACCATGTTGTATCATAATGTAGTATGATATGGCTACACAATTAAATAAAGAAATAACTTATTATCATGAGGGTTAAGAGCAAGATGAACAGGCATACCGATGTACATTCTGTTTATCTCTATATCACAGTTGCAAGGAAAGAGGCTGTATGGATGCAGGCAGGGGGATAGAGGTTTCACAGGTGATTTAAAAGTAATTCCCCCCCTGCCATTCTTGGCTTCTTTTTCAGTAAAAACCTACAGGCTTTCAGACACGAGATCCATCAGGACTATCCCATTACTGAATCCTGGGGCTCCCGCATGCTACTTCTAGACTTGCTTTCAAGTATCCGTGGCCATGCATGCATATGTGTGTATACCACTGCATTATAACATCAGACAGTGCAGAAGTGCGTTCTGCCCCAAGGATACGCAGTCTTTGCTTTCTTTTCCTAGACATCATTCAGGTGGGAACATGTCCGCTGGCTCTTTCAGTGCTTTTCCCCCTACACATCTCTCAGAACCTGCAGACATTCCCGGAGTGGCTGCACTTGTCGGAGATTATATGGGTGATACAGCTCTATCACATATGTTTCTTCTTTACAACAAAAGAGAGCAGCTGTGAAAAACTAAGGGATGCCCCAGTATGGTGTTAATGTGTAGAAAAGATTTCAGGAACAGCTATTGGAGGAGATGATGCTTTTCTGTACAAATACCAACGCATAACACACACAAGCTGAAATGATGCACATCACAATTCAATTATGTGTTGCTCACCCAAAAGCAGAAGCATTGTGCGGATATGTTAATTTCCCCAGTGTAAGAGAGACACAAATTTGAATATGTGCCTGCACAGACTGAGCAAACTTTTTAAGTGAATAAGGGGAAAATACCCTTCTTGTCTTCTTTTGCTCTATACAACACAGTTTCACCAGTGATAAAATTACAGGATGTGACAATAAAAAGTTAAATTCTGAGTTTTATATGAACAAAGTATTGTTTGTGTGTCTTTTCCAGCTTCGACATCAGTAATTGTTACACAATGTTTGTTAACGTTACAGTTTAATTATGTTTATTTGTTGCATGTAATTGTTACACGTGAGCACTCCACCTATGTTAAACACATTTCCATCTCAGATTTATACTTCTAACAAAGAAAGAAAAGACAGACCTTTCGAAAAAAAACTCAGTATGTGTTTCCCTCCGGTTCTGTTATTTTATTTAACAGCTACAATAGACATGAATAAATAAAAAGGTTATATGATGGTTTATTTAGCCAAACATTTCATTTCAATCTTTAGTTTGTAATGCAAAATTAAAGCAAAACTCACATGACACATCGTGTTCTCAGGATGAAGTCTCCATGTTAGTTATTACATTTATACTTTATTACTTTATACATTCTAATCAAAGCATTATATTGTGTGTGTGAAATTTAAAGAACGATCCAGATGAATTGGACTGACAAACAGAAGAGGGAAGAACAGGCCAATATGACAGCTTAAGCTTCAAAGTGCTGGTGTTAGCAATGAAGGCTGACTTGAGTAAAGCAACCACAGAATGATGTAAAACTGCTGCAATTGGCCTACACTGGCTCTCAGTCTGACTTTAAGATGATACTAATTACGACGGTAACAATACATAAATGAGATCTAAGAAACAAGGCACCAAGTGCACTTTTAAAAAGTAAATCCCACTAGTCTTATTTTAGTTCTTGAGTATATGTCAACTGTCCCTGGATTCCATCGCCTAACCCTCTGTACTGTACACAGACTAACCAGCACAGCAAGTCTGCTCATCAAAAGCAACAGTTAGAATATGACTAGCAGCAGGGCTTCCGGCCGCAGCAGTCCGTCAGAGGGGCTAAGCGCTCACATGATCAGAAGCAATCGCTGCTGTGATCCCAAACACTCACAATGTGGAGAACAGCTGGATGACCAGGTCATCCCCAGTTCCCCGGTTCATCATTCTTTGATATCTCATGCCTGTTGCCATGGACACAGAAGATGAAATACGCTTCTTCAATGAATAATTATAAATAGTGTGTTTTATCTTTTGAGCTCACCACTTTAAAGGGTTGGCTAAAATATGACACACGTACAGTCGAAGAATTCAACAAGCAGTGAGACTTCTTTTCTTTGAGTTTAAAGACTTTTAGTTTTGCTATTATATGAAGCTTTTTGTATTCAGATGTTTTAGGCTTAGATGTACTTCTGTTTGTGTTTGGCGTTTAAGAGAAAAGGGAAAGTTTTTTAGACTACTATTACTTTAGCATGAATTACACCTTACAGTCTGTGTTGTATGTATGACTTTCAGAATGTTTTTATCTGCTCTGTGGTTTCTGTCCAACGTGCACGATCTTATAAACCACAAGAGGAGGTACTCAGAAGGCATCAGTCAACTTGTCTGTACCATCACATCTACCTTCTCTCAAGCAGCAGTTGGTTGGCCGTTGAGTGCACAACCTTTTGGATCTTTGAAAGTAGCCAGTACTTAATCAACCAATTTTATTCTTTTTTTTTTTTTTATATTTCCCCAAAGTTTTATAGCCATAATATGGCAACAATATCTATTTTTCGTCTACTTTGGTGAGATGAGCTGAGGAAAGGATTAGGGCTTCCATTTTTTTCATTTTACTCTGTAGCACAGCATGAGCATAGTGTGTCTCTGTGTGTCTGACAGATAAGATCAAGCAGCTTTGCTAATACGTTTGATCGGCTAAAGACCCCAACCTTGTCAAACTCACCGACAGCACTGCCTAACAGCCCGCCCCACCCCACCCCATCACCACCAACTCAGAAACACTTGACTTTTTTCTACAGCTCTTTTTCCATTTCATCCCTAATCAGTTTCTCAAATGTCACTCTCTCTGCTTGCTCCAGTGTTTTCCATTCCTCAATGTAAAATAGACATCATTACTATTAGAACACTAAGAACCCACCATTCTTCCAGAGTAGCTGCTATAAGCTGCAGATGACTCCAGATTTGATAGATTGTTAGGGGGCATTTTTTTTATTATGATCAGATAACAAATGATGCTGTTCACATGAACTCACCATGACAAGCCAAAATTGTAAAGAATTTGTAGTGTCATTCTTGGAAATGATTAATGCTGAGAAATGCATCTATGTTGAGATGGTGCAGGGAAGATGGATGAGGCAGCCTGAGGTACGACCTGCAAACGCCTGCAGTGGAACTGTAGATTCACAACCGTTTAGATATTTGATATTTTCACCAAACCACGTTTGGAGAGGCAGAATAAAACTACTTGGTGCATCCTGTCTCTTAGATTTCAGTCTTTGTGTTCCCTGTCATTCTTTGTCCATCATGAGCAAGACTTGTTACACAACACCAGGGACGAAGGTTGCAAATTAGCCCATGGCTACAAGCTTTATGTACTTGGACATCGGCCACCTGTTTGGTTGCAATGTTTAATCGTACTGTCCCTGTCAAATAAATAAATAAAAACAGGACAAAAAAACTGATCCACATTAGCAAAAGATTATGTTATAAACATGGTGGTCCCCCTTTGGTAACTTATGTGTTCATTTTGAGCTTCCCTCCAACTCTACAGAAAATATTCTTCTCAGGTCATCATTTATTCATAATTCTGGGAAACCACCTCCCTGAAGCAGTCCTGAATGTTAAAAACTGTTAATGTTCAAAAACTATTTTCAGCACTGCCAGTGTTCCAGCCTTTCCTCCATCCTGAGGCAAGATTTTCTCCCCGTGTTGCTGGTCACTGAAGCAGCAGCTGAAATATAACCTTCAGAGGTGGAGCTCTCTAATGCATGAAGTCGTACCTTCAGGAGTCTGCTATTCACAGCCGATTTTACTTTATCATATTGGTTTAAAAACCTCATTCCGATGCAGTGTGTGCTCATGTAACACTTTAAGACTCAGCCTCGGCTCCTTAACTTCCTAAACATGATTATCCATACATTCTGGGAAGTGAATAGGAAATGCACTCGCCCACAGGCTATGGTCAGCCACAACACGCCCACGAGTTGAGAGAATCAGTCATCCTGATGAAACTTTCAGTAGGACAGCCACACAGCTCTGAAATATTCCTGGATCAGCCATGTGAGCAAAATTCCAAAAGTTCAAGGGTCAGAGTGACCAAAAGTTGTCAACCCCCAGTAAAAATCAACAATGATTTCTAAAAACAACTGCAGTGCTTCACTCATTCAGAATGTTTTGCATTCAGAAATGTGCTTCTTTACTCTCAAAGTCTGAGGCAGGACCAGACTGGAGCTCCACTGGACTTTGTGTTTTTGTCTTTACAGAACGCAGAATGTGTCTGGGCCACTGAGCACTGGCACTGAGATGCTGCTTTTGGTTTTTCCATATTTATCCCCAGGTGTGTTGTGGGGGCCAACTGGCAGAGCCCACAAGTGTTCAGCTCCACAAAAGAGCTGTGTTTAATGCATGACGGAGTACTCAGACTGGGTTTGAACACAGCAGCTGCCTGGTGGAGATGGATGCTTGGGGAATTTTGCATATTCACACGTCAGTATATTTTATTTGGAAAAGTGCGTGGCTTTATCCAGCAACTTGAACGCAGAAAAGGGAGGTTTCCTTAGAAAGATATTTATCAAAATAGCTGACCATGTTCAGAGATGAGAAGTGGTATGATTAAAACAGAGAAGAAACCTACAGGGCAGAATGACCCTTCAGTCCGACTAACTGTGTGACAAACTCAATTGGACAGGGGGTCAATAATCCAGGTAGGTAAGGAGGCATTGACCTGTTTTTTCTGGAGTGTCTTATATGATAGGAGTTAAAAGTGTCAGAGAAATCAAAGAACTTGATACTCCTGGCGCTGTCTGCTTTAAAGGTGGTTGGACTTGTATTACATGTATCTCTTTGGTGAAGCAGGCGTCTGATCAGGAGGTGCACAACATCCTTAAAAAGCCATGAAAAAGTAATCAAATTCAGAGTTACATAATCCCAAGAGTCCCATTAGGAACGCAGATAAAGCACCCATCAAAGTGTGAGGCTGCAGCAGCTGGGAGCTAATGCTTATGTTCATCATGTTTGCATATTCATTCCTAATGTCTTGTCCACAGAGTTTCTGTGTCTTGGCATCTTGTCTGTAAACCAAACACTTGAATATTTTTTTTTACATTCTGGCATTATTTCTCACTTAAAAACACACATACAGTCGCCCATTCAGCTGGAGCTGAACTGAGTCCTGTGTCCACATACAGTGCGGGACAAATGTTCACTGCTCCAGTTATGTCGCACTTGTGAAGGGGAAGCCCTGGTGTTCTGCAGCTAAAAGCCCCACCATGCAATGAATAATGAATACAGATTCCCCATCCAGTCTATCTGCACACTAGTTCAAAGGCGCTCTGCTAGCTCATGCATAAAGCAGAAAGACACACAATTCTATGCTAATGGCGTTCAATTCCAGGGGCTGGACTGAGCTCAGTGAGCCGTGCAAACATTCCAGTGATGAGGATGAAGACAGCGACGGGAGCTGGAATTTGTCCAGTACTCCAAAGGGTCAAGAAAAAGTGTTCTCTTGGGCACCAGCAGCACACAACTCACCCCCGCACGCATACACAAAGCCTCAGAGAGAAGTGCAAGCACACGCCGTCCCAAGGGAGTACCGGACACTTCATTGTTGCTGAGTGATGCTAATGATTTATCAAGCGTCCCAAGGCTGATACGTAAGGAGCGAGTGAAATTGTCAGTGGAGATTGTAAACTAAGCCACTCAGCTCTGTAAGCTTTACCGCTGCTAAGCCACAAGGTTTATATATTCCGCTAATGCAAATATTTCTGACACATTTCTTCTTTAGTCTGGTATTCTGTCATGCATTTCTCCCACACCTCAAAACATCCCGCTGCTCAAACTGTATGTATGAGTGTGCGTGTGTGTGTGTGTGTGTGTGTGTGTGTGTGTGTGTGTGTGTGTGTG